ATATATATATATATATATATATATAGACTTTAAACAGTAAACAAACTATTAAAGTTGCACCACCTCTCTTTCCAGGAATAAATAATAAACATGTTCTGAGAGAGAACCCCTCCTGCGCACCGAGAGGGACAGAAAAATAAACACAGCACGCCGTTATGTCACCGCTCCCCTGATGGGAATAGCATCCGTCCCTCTCTGCTGCATCAGACCGCTCGATCGGACGGCTCAGTTTGGTGCCTGCAGTCACCACCGGACTGATTTTCTTGTCACATTGAGGAAAAGGAAAAGCCTGGAGGACTTTGCATCGAGTTAAGAGAATGCAGATGGTCTCACAGAAGCTCTTCACTGCCCTCTGAAGGCCCCGACGGCACAGACAACCATCTCGGTCATGTTGCATTTGCATTAAAGCGTTGGACAGCTGATTGACACGACTGGAGTGAAGATCATTCCATTATTTTACTGGGATCTTGATTTCAGACAGTTGGAGGAACATTGAAGGTATAAGGTATACTGCAGTGAAAATAATCTGCCTCCTACGGTGGCCCGTACGGGACATCAGACACACTCATGCGTGAATAACTGCCAGCTCCACCAATCAGTTTATTAATATCTAATTCCCTTAATTGCAGAGTGAAATGATTTGATGTGAAGCAGCTGTCTGGCGTTCAGAAACAAAATGATGCCAGGGCGACCTTCACCGGCAAAAACATTGAACAAAACGCCTGTAATAACTGTGATTAATAGCTGTGATCACATTAGCCGGCACAATAATCATCCCCGCCATAAGGAGCGATAAAAAATATCCCCGGATGCAAAGTCTCACCGGCACAGAAGATGCGGAGCTGCTGAGTGGGCGATATGATGCTGAGGTGCGTGGTGAAGAGGTCCACGAACGCCCCGGGATAAACCACGAACACGAATATGCCGAAGCCGTTTACTCGGACTTGCTCCCTGCCGGGGAGAGAAAGACAAAACATTAAAGCCCCTGAAAACGTCTCGCTATGAGTGATGGGATCCGACATCAACACGTTCGTCTTTTAGAGGTCTCTGTGTGTAACTTTGTTGCTTATTAAATCTGGATTATTTCATGTTTGATGCCACATTTTTAGAGTCTTTAAACATCAGATGCTAAAAGATGAAGGTCTGGTTAAATGAGCCATATGCTCAGAATCAAACACAGATATTTAGAAATGTTCAGTGAAGCACCAACATAAGGGACAGGTTGACACCAAACCAGGTTGAAAAATGTGAAGCATCTTGAATTAAATAGAGAATATCTAGTGTGTGTGTGTGTGTGTGTGTGTGTGTGTGTGTTTGTTTTACCTCAGTGCTGCCACAGCGTGGCCCAGCTCATGTATAACTCCGCTGAGCAGCAGGGCGATGAAGAAGTAGGCCAGCTGACTGGTGGGCAGATTGACACCAGGGATCTAAAGACACGGCCGAAAAAACCCCCCAAAAAGAATCAGCACAAAACTGTGACTGACACACAAACACAGTCAGAGTTAAATAAAACAACTTCTCGCCTCTTTGATCTGATTTCTATGTGCATTTGAATCCCTTTGTAGGACATTTAATTAAACTACGACGTTCTGTATCTGCACTGCACACTCGGCAAACACTGACATCACAAAGACGTCTTTAATCTTCCTCCCCACTCGTCATATTAATTGTTTCATGTTTCGCTGAAGCCGTGCTTTTCTGTGCGGTCTGCATTTTTGCTCCTCCGCCGGCCGTGCGGTGCTTTTCCTCCCCCGGGCTGAACACTCGGTTATAAATGGCCGACTAATGTCTTCCCATGAATCACCTGCCGTGGTCCGCTGGGGGACGGCGCTCGCATTAAAGCGCGGCTATTTGACACCTCGCTTAATAAAAAAAAAAAAAAAAAAAAAAAAAAGTGAAAATGCTAAATAAGTGCCCTTCTCATAATGGGGGGCGTTGTTTCGCCCCCTCATTTGAATAACGCAGGCTTCTTGTGAACGTTCAAGGACATTAATGCTCCGAACGGTTCATCTGTGGCCCGGCTCACTGACGACAGAGAGACACAACGCTTTGCAAACCCGACCGGGTGCGTACTCACCACCACCTGCAGGGCCTGCTGACCCCCCATCCGAGGGTCGTCCGAGGTCATCTGAGCGAGCGTCTGCTGCAGCGTCTTTGTCAGCAGCACCACGGAGCCCAGCATGGCAACGACACCGAACACCAGACCGCTGTTGAACCTGGAAGACATAAATAAAGATTAAGCGGGGCAATCTTCTCCATTTGGCCAGACTAACTGACAGTAATTGATTATACTACATTAATAATGTAAGTGGATGTACATCAAGAAGCCAAACCTGCAGGACTAAAAGGATATTTAGCAATTTAGCCTTTTGACCAGACATGAAGATAACACAGTTTACAAATGTCTCAATCTCCATCAGAACAAGTTGTTTTTTGGCACATGCTGCAGAACATGGATCATCATATTTACCAACCTGGAAATGTTCCCAAAAACAACGGCGTTTACCTTTAAGAGCAGGAAGATTACAGGAACAGTTCGGGTTAAGCGTGCTCACCACAGGTACTGTGCTCGGGGGTTGATGCGGGCGCAGTACGCAAACAGCCGGTTGAACATGGTGGTCTGCCATCTCACGTGGAAAGGAGACAACATCAGCCCTCGACTCGCCAACCACGACTCGTACCTGATCCGGTGTGTCGACGACAACTGTGGGAGAAAAGTAGAAAAATGTCATCAAAGAGTGGAAAAAACCCAAAGTCAATGCACTCCTGGAGTTCAGTGAGCGACACTGGAATCATGACAACACTGATGTTATTGACAGTTTAAAGTATCTGTTAATGACATATTGTAAACACAAGCTTATTTGTTTGTGTATTTTTAAATCTCCTCTTACTCTGTTTATTGCGATACACCAAAGCACCGATGCAAATTCCTTTTATGTGAATAGCTTCTTGGCAATAAATACGATTCGGATATGTTGATTATGGAATTATACTGCAAGTAGCTGCTTGTGAATTGATTACATATATACTGGTAGGCTATATTTCTGTGCTTTAGTTGTGATTGACAGTTTTAGTATCCACACTTTCTCTTGATTACATACATTTGGCATCGCTAGAGTTTCTTATAATGGTATATTTTTATTAAAAAAAAGATTAATTTAAAAGGTCAACTCAAGTCGTAAACATTTATTTTGAAATGTAAGCTAATTTAACAGGATTTTTTGCTGGTCCGGACAGTTTTCAGCTAACATTTTAATAAAAATCCACTTAAAATATTGATTAAAAAATTATGTAATATTTTCAGTTTACATTTATTTTAAATGTAAGCTGTGCAGCACAATGTTTCTTTTGTGTCTCTCATTTTTTAATCTAAACATACAAACCTGTGGTATTAAATATTATATAGAAATATGTATAGAATAATATATATTATATAAATAGCAGAAAACATTTTCTGCAGGTGAGGAGAAGCGTGAATTACAGCCTTAAACCTCATCCTAACAGTCTGTTATGGTCCATTGTAACACCCACTGACTAATGAAGCGGATGGATTTCTCCCTGTATGTTTGTTAGCTAGCTGACATTTTATTTAACACTCCAAACAAAGACATAATCACCTTCAGCAGTGTGTCGGTGAGGTAGACGGCGCACCAGCCTCCCATCACACACACCAGCAGAGGCACCGGGATCATGGTGCATCAGAGGCGGACTCTCCGTGGACACAATGAACCGACCTGCACCATCTCCATCACTCTCCGTCTTGCCTGCTCTTTGTCACGGAGCTATCCGCGGTTACGCATGTTTAAAATAATATAAACATTTTAAATTAAACGTGAAGGAAAGAGGAGATGCTCTAAGCTCTAAATGGAAAAGGACAGTCAGCACCGTGCGACCAACTTCCGGGTAGCAGTTCTTCTTCTGTTTCTTTATTTAATGCTAAATATCAATCACATGGAGCGCTACCGCCACCGCGTGTTGAACTAGAGCACTTCCCTTCTAAGAAATAGGATTTGGGCTGATTTAAGTAGTTTTAACCCGTTTTAATGTATTTATATTAAGCATAACCATTTAGATTCAGCCTTTATATTTTTGTTATCTTAGACTTTTAATATTTGCCCTCTTCCTACTTTGTATTGAAACTGCTGCACTGCAATTTCCCTCGAGATGAATAAAATGCTTTCCCATTTTATGAATATCAATAAAATCTTAAATCTGAACATTTAAACTTCCTCTTTACATTGTATTCTACTGCATTGATATAAAGTATTATCATTACAGTACAAATTCAACGTAAAATACATGAAAGATGAGTTGATGTACGTGTCTTTGTGGAGAGAGGAATCTCCCTGGGTTGTGCATTTAAAATAGCAAGTTTGGTAAATTAAGTCGCTTTTGTATCTGTTTCAAGCAGCAAGCTGCGTCACAAAGTAAACTTCAATCGCAATTATGTATTTTATCATCACATATTCTCTCTGTTTGTATTTTCTATGTGTTTTATTTCACAGTATATCATTGCTCTATATTTCTGTTCCCTTTGAATGCCATAATGGCTTTTGTGAGTCATGTGCAGCTTGACTTTACCACGAGAACCTAAAGGCAGCAGTAGCCCCTTAAAATGGAGAGCAGGATAATTGATCAGGGTTTGCGGAGCTACTTCGGCTGAGCTGCAGCGGTAAAAAAATGAAAGTGTGAGTCTGGATATTGGATTTCATCCTACCAAAAGGCCAGGAGGGTAAAAGGACACCAATAAATGTCGATGGTGTGACTCAGATGCAACGAGGAAACAAGCTCCCAGTCTGACTCATTAAGCCATAAATGTAAGCGAGGGAACATAAAACTGCTTGTGGATAAAACACTGTGTGTTGATGCATTTCACATCCATATTGCCACAACTCAGTGTCACACGGAGCCTCTGGCTTGTCACTATTCATGTTTTAATCACACTGTAAATGTTAGAAAGTCCCTTTTTTATAGGAGGGATTTTCTGTGGCCATGTGAGGTTAAAGGTTAATTCTTCGCACTAACAATTGTGTTCCCCCACTCATGTACACTACAAACATGTAGACACCATAACCAAATCTGTTTACCAATTATCACTGAGTCAGGCAACTGCTCACCCCGACGGCGAAACATTTGTGGCTTCTCTCGGTGATGATGAAGCAGCTTGAGCAGACGAACAGGGCAGATGCCCTCATGTACATGTGGCCTCCAACTTGCCACTTCCTGCCAACTAAACAGCTGCCTGTGGACAAGAGAGACAAACTGTCAGACAGCAATGACTATCATCTGACTTCCGGTGAAGGCAATCACTCCTCAGAGGGGGGACTCATCATTATTATCACGGCATGCCTCAATTTTTTATTACCTAATTTAAATTCTAATCTCATTTTTAGCGCCAAACCTACAGCTCACGTCCCTACATGAGCTCTCCCAAACTTTAACTGAAGTCCTAAAAAAGCTCATTGAGGACAAGTTTGACTCTCATTGAAATACAACAACGATCACATGTAGGTACTGAGAATACATGCGAGTTTTGGTATCTTTGTTGTCATTTAAACTGCTAAATTAAATTATGTGGAAAAGCTCAAGGTGCTTCAAAAGAAAAGGAGAAAAAGAACAATGACAATATACAATGACTTAGTAAATACACTGTACTTGTTATTGATAAGAGGTGAGTATAAACCGTGTAGCAATATATAAAAGTAATTTTTGCTAAATCTCTCTAAATTTCTCTAAATTTCTCTAAATCTCTCTAAATTTCTCCCAGCCTCTGTGCATTTGTCCCCCGTCATCTTCAAATTGCCATCATGTGCAGTGTACAGACTACACATGCAAGCTCCGTTATATTCTGCCCAGATCCTTCTGTAGGTTTGCTGTTTGACTTTAAGCAAAAACGTCTCTGCATCCTGAGGAAGTGCACAAAAAAACACCCATTAAATCTAATGCTAGAACACCCGCAGACCAACCGGCAAACTTCAGCTTCTACCTTCATATGTTACTGTTTTCTACATCAAGTTTGGCTCACTGCTAAACTTCAGCTACATAGATTCAATAGCAGACCATTTAGCTGTAGCATGTTGTCAGTAATGACGTTGTTTTCTGTGACAGGTAAGGGTTGTCCTTCCCAACAGATGTGTGTGTGTGTGTGTGTGTGTGTGTGTGTGTGTGTGTGTGTGTGTGTTTCTTATTTGCATATTCTGAAATATATAACGAGCCTACAGTTTGAGTCGGTTCATTTTACTACCTGGCCACACAATAGATTAGTTTCATAGGATCAGTGTGGTTTGATGCCATGAAAGTGGACAACTCCATCTGAGGAGATGTTGAGGGGAATCCTGAGAGTCAAGGTAGGTTGAAACACACACTCCAAAAGACTTTCAACATATGAGAAAACACATCTATATAGAGCAACACTCACACACACACACACACACAGGCTGAAAACTCATTCTACTACTCTCCTGATGGGTCGGATTTCTCTCTGGGAGGAGTTTCAAGTCTCTCCGAGCCAATCAGGACGAGCGGAAACAGGTCAGGTAGCCGAAGAGGACCTCAGAGAGAGCGCAGGCAGGGCAGACAAGGCACGCACGGCAGGAGGTAAGAGAGCACACGCACACACACACACACACACATGCCCACACCTTTAACTTTGTGAGATCACAGTTCCCCTCTGAGCCCGTCGATGTGTGTAAATGTAGACATACCAGCATAAGCACTTGTGTGTGTGTGTGTGTGTGTGTGTGTGTGTGTGTGTGTGTGTGTGTTGGAGTGAGTGTCACAGCTGAAATATAGGGCAGTGCCATTTTAGTCACTAAGATTGGGTGAAGTGTTTTGAGGACTGGAGTGTCAGGGTTTGTTGAAGATGCTGCAAAAAGAGAAATCCCATACATGTCCTTATAAACATTTGTGAGTGTACCATAAGAGACAGTTTTGTATTTTTAAATGCTTAAATGTTCCATTTTTTGAATGACGTTTGGTTTAAGAGTTTGAGTATTTCCCTCACTGGAGAGTTTTGCTGTAATTATAGCTTGAATAGCCTAAAAAGATGTTCAAATCTGGGGCCGTACTCATCATTATGAATATGTGTGAATACCAGATAAACACAGTTATATGTTTGAGTGTTTCATGCTTAAATGTTCCTTTTTTGAATGAAGTTTGGTGCAGCCGTTAAATTATTTCCCTCACCAAAGCACCTTACTCTAATTAAGGCTTAAAAACCTTAACATTTTCTTATAAAGTTTGGTCTTGCAGATAACATTACACTGTAACTGTAGTTCAAAAACCTTAAAAAGATGTTAAAAGTCAAGAGATCCAACTGTCCGGTGATACTGTTTGACAATGTTTTGGTCGGTCGCTCTGCGTGTCCATGTGTGTCGAAGAGTGTGTGTGGATAGAAAGCAGGTCCCTTCTGTGTATCACTCTTCTATTTATAGAGTGAACAAATCCCAGATATGAGAGGAATCCTTCCACCACTTACGAGGCAGGGTGAGAGAGAGAGAGAGAGAGAGAGAGAGAGAGAGAGAGAGATAGAGGGCGGAGAGAAGAACAAAGGAGAAAGATAATGAAAGAGATGGAGGGCAGAGAGGAAACTAGTGTGAGAGATGGATAGAAAGTGTAAGTGAACAAAGCGAGAGAAGTCCTAAAGTCAAGCATTAAACGATACAGTGTTGTGTCCTCAACAGGTAAGTTAGTTCTGCTTTGTTTATGTGTGTTTGAATGGCAGGTTTAGGTCAATACTGTGGTACTCTTTTAGCATTTTGTACTTTTTATGAGTGACAGTCTGGAAGTTTCCAATAACCTGCAGGAAGACTCATTGTTTAGCAATGGGGCGATTAAGTTGAACTGTTATCTGGGTCTGCTTTTATTCGAAACATTTAAAAAAGCATTGATCTAGTCCTATATATACGTTGTATACGTTAAGGGTAGCTGGCAATATTCTATATTTCTTTTATTGTCAACAAATGTAATGAAGAAATCGCAACCAACAATGGATTAGTGTGTCTTTCAGTGTTTTCCAACATTTCCTTCCAGCCCCAAAAAGTAGTTCAACATTTTAAAATTGCTTTTAGAATGGCACCACTTTCATGTCTGCATGCTGAGCGTGAAGTCAGGAGATGATTAGCTTAGCATAGCAAACACCGGCAATGCTCGGCTAGCAGTTTTCTTCTGCCTACAGTCTTTATGCTAAGCTAAGCTAAGCTAATAGCCTAGTGGCTGTGGCTTCTATCTATTTTGGCAAGAAAGAGAATAAGCTTCCCAAAATGTTAACCTTGATATATATAGTAATATGTACTTGCTAGTAGGACAAATTAATTTCTGGTTTTGCTTCGAATTTTGGACAATAATAAAACAGTGATGTTAGCATCATATAAGCAGTGCTTTAAGATAAAGGCTAACTTTAGGAAGCTAACTTTAAGATGCTAACATGCTAATGACAACGTGAACATGCTGATGTTTACCAGATTATATTTTGGTTCTCCGTCTTAGTTTAGCCTGTTAGCATGCTAACACTTGCTAATTAGGAAAGAAACAAAGCGAGTATTGGACACATTTTGACCTGATAATGGTGCTAGATAAAAAGGTAAGGGATCACCAAAGTTAGAATGTGTCCTCTAGGGAATTTCACAGCAATTGTTAAGATAGTTGTGAAGATATTTCACTGTCAACAAAAAATGTCCTTGTTAGTAAAGCAAAATAAAACATAGTTCCTTAGTGATTCATTCGTGCTGCCGTTTGTGCGGCTGCAGCTCTTGTTGATATTCCAGAAATACCGTCAGGCTCTGAAACACGTGCACGTATAGGCCTACCTCAAAGAGCCTTTTTGTTTGGTGTCTGCACACAAATATTGAAGATTTAAATAATTCAAAGTATAAGGAATAGTTATACCTGTGGTTTTGAGCGTGTGAGAGAGAGAGAGAGAGAGAGAGAGAGAGAGAGAGAGAGAGAGAGAGAAAGAAAGGGCTCGTGAGGCTTTGCAGCGTGGTGTCAGGAGGGCAGCTGCTACTCATGGCCAACATAAATACCGTTGTGTTAGCACGTGTGTGTGTGTGTGTGTGTGTGTGGTTGTGTATTTTGGGGTGTCCAGGCTTTTACTCTCATGTCAAGGACAGCAAAGCTCTTGCTCTATGTTGTTGCATAAACAGCACCCTAGTAACGGTGTCCAAGTGCTGCCATTGAACGCAGCAGCAGCCGTAGAGAGCCGGGGACCCTGTTTCTGTGGTCCTCTGCTCTGAGCCACTCGTAGATAAGATAAATAGGCCGTGGAAACTTCTACGATTGGGAACCACTTGGGTCAGTGTTGATCTGTGAAACATTCAAGAGGGAGGGAGGCAGTAGAAAATAACAGAAAGCCGGCTGAGGTGAAATGAGGAAGAGAGGGACAACGTTTTGTTTATTTCTAATAGCTGATTCAAATACCTTCTGTGGGATTGTTATATTTTACTATTTTAATGCTGAAGATCATTTAGATTATATAATTTTTGCAGGAGAGGAGTAACCTCAACAAAAACCTACAGAGTTAAAGACCTCACTGCCTCAAAATAAAGACAGAGTCCATCTCTTGAATTCAGACAGAGATGGACAAATTCTGTTTCCAGCTGATTCATTTTAAAACGTGGATTTTGCAAAAGGGCCTTAAAATATGCACTTCAGGTTTAAGCACTCGGATTAAGGTTTGGGACAGAGTGCTGTTTCAGTTAGACCTTTCCCTAAGTTTAATAATAAAATGCTGTAAACTTTAACAATATGTAACATGCAATCATCCCATGATTAGAGTTTATGTGGTTTGTTGGGATTTGAATTGATGATATCACTCTACTCAATGCAAAGGTTCTCTCTCACACACTTGCTAAAATTGAGGCACTGTCGCACTTTTATTTTGACATTCCCCTCTCATGAATGATTCAGAGAACAGTTCCTCTACCTGCTTCTCTCTGGGAGAGTCGCTAAGCAACTGAAATGCTATCCCGGCCCTTTAAACCCACAGAAACAGAGTCCCAGTGCCCCCAACACACACACACACACACACACACACAGCTGAATGTCTGTGATCTGTGCTTCCTCCAGGTCAGTGGACTTACCGGGAGGATTATGTCCAAACCTTCGTCCAACGTGAAGGCCCTACAGGTAAAATATCTTCATCTGTGTGCACAATAAGCTGTGGTTGTGTGTGAAACTTTTATTTTAATAAAACAACAACAACCATGTCTTAGTTTTATTTACAACAAGAAAACAAGACAAGCAAGAGATTTCAACCAAATCGTAACTCTTCAACCTTTTAAAAAATAAAGAAGACAGATGTTTCCACATTAAAGTATTTATTGGTAAAGGCAAATACAGAGTTCAGACTGTGCATAATACAGTATCAAGGCTTTGTTAGTGCAGAGTTGTAGCGAGGCAAAGGATGAGGAGTTGTCTGTATCGCTGTATCTTTGTAAATGTGTCTGCGTTGGTGTAGTAATGGCTTTGTGCGTGCATGTCAGAGAGGGTTTCTTCCGTCATCTCTCTCTCTCTCTCTCTCTCTCTCTCTCTCTCTTCTCTTTGTGCTCATTTTCACGTCTAACCATGGGACAGACATCTGGACAGAGGACTATTTTAAACACCAGTACAGTACAAACATGAGGTTCCTCGTCTCAGCACTCCACCATCAGTTTAAGTTCATCACAAATAAGAACAGCAGTACAGATTTACATTATGAATAATAGATATCTTCTTTCAAAAAAAAACTTTTTTTAAAATCTTTCAACATTTTCAAAAGCATACCATATCGTTGTTATATTGATTTTCCAAAAATTTAATCAGCACAGTGTGAAAATCAATCATTATTGTTACTGCTAAATCCAACATTTAAGAGCTTGGATCTGATGTAAACACCCTGTGTTTTATATCCAACAACGATCAAATAGAAAACAACCACCAAACTGAGTTGAGTCGCTGCCAACACGGCAGTTAGAGTGGACTAATGTACCCCAACAAACAGTCAAGTCACAGTCCGTCTGAATTTTATATTCGAGCTGGAATAGAACATTTCTCTGATCAATGAAGGGAAATTATAATCTTGCTTTAGCGTCTTGCTCGAGGGCACTTCAGCAGCGGGACTGCTTTTAGACGTCAGGGACAAATCTTGCATTGATTGATTGACTGATAGAAAGATTTCCTCCGCTCCCCTGCTGGTCTTTACGTTTCCCATCCTTTTATAGACGCTCCTCAGGAGGTCAGCTCTAAAGACGCAGTTCACCTTCAATATTGATTGATCGATCGACACACAGACAGTTACTCTCTGTGGTTCCATCTCAGCCTCCTCCCATGTTAATAGCCCTGCCATCTTTTTAATAGCTCCAAGCAATAAAAGGTCCATTACATTTCCTCCAAACAATTGAAACATTTAGTGCCCAAACGTTTCCAGTGTGGATCCTAAAGTCCAATATCGCCTTCTCTGATACAACTTCACTATATTGATATGCACGTATGGAGCAGGAGGTAAGGAAGCAGAGTTGAATCATTAGTGTGCATGAAAAGTTTCGTTCTTTAGATTTACTTCCTCCAACTTTGGTATCTCTTGACTGCCTCTTAAAGAACTTAAGCTTGCAAACACACTGGTATACGGTCCTTTAGTTATGCAGGGAGCTTAGACTTTAGTGGACGTAGTCATCGTGACGTCACCCATTGTTTTGTGGACTTCCGTTTTGAAGCCTTGAGTTCAGCGATTTCGTCGGTGGCCATCTTGGATTACGGCTGTCGCCATGTTGTTTTTTGCAACCAATAAATGGAAGTTACCATATTTAGAATGCGGAGGAGTGACGTTAAGACGCCGTAAAACCGCCATAAAGCATATTCCGCTTTATGGTCTATCTGACTCTAAACGGACCCTAATTTCCTAAATGAACATCATGCTGTATTGAAGAAGACTTGAAACTAGAGATTGAGACCATAAACTCATGTTTACAATGTTTACTGAGGTAATAAATCAAGAGAGAAGTAGAATCATTTTCTCATAGACTTCCATACAATCGGACTTCTTTTTGCAACCGGAGGAGTCGCCCCCTGCTGGTCAGTTGAGAGAATGCAAGTTTTAAGACACTTCTGCATCGGCTTCACTCAGCAGACACGGAGGTTGCCGCCTGGCAGTGAGGCGCAGATGGAACTACAACACGAGGGCTATTTCAGTTGTTGGACAGAGTTAAAGGAACATTTTGGGAATAAATTTTCTTGCGGAGAGTTAAATAAGAAAATGAATAGCACTCTCATACACTACAGCCAGAAGACATTAGCTTATAGCTTAGCATAAAGACTGGATGCAAGCAGAAACAACTAGCCTTAAAAAATGTTGTGTCCACGTACGGATCCAACAAACAAGTTATAACGTATTAATTAAAGGTGCTGCTAGAATTCCATAAATGTTTGGACAACGCCAGGTTAACTGCTTCCACCTGAGACAGTAAACAACCCCAGCCAAAGCAACATTACAGATATTACCACTCTGAGCAAACATGCTGCGAATGAGGCGATTTCTCCCAGAACTTTAAACCTAAATGTCTGGAAAAAAATAAATAAAACCTCTGTGAAACACAACACACTCCCTCTCTGTACAGCTGTACAATATGAGCATATTTACAATACAATACAGTACAATGCAAAAAACAAAATGACACACATCAAATCCAAGTGACAGGACGTCGGGCAGGCAGCAGTTTAACATCGAGTTAGCAGGCAGATCGCTGAGCTATGTTTGTGTGTGTGTGTGTGTGTGTGTGTGTGTGTGTGTGTGTGTGTGTGTCCCACTTTTCATAAAGACACAACGTCCTTGGTGACAGGAAGTCGTGGCCAAAATCAAAACAAGGGGTTTTGAGGAAACAGGTGTAGGCTTACAAATAAAACACACACACACACATGCAGAGACGCACAGACAGGGAATTTGTTTAAAGTGTTGAAAGCATCTCATTGGCTCTTCTTGCCGTCCGTCAGGCTAATTTGAACATCCCGATGGGAGCTCTGCGTCCAGGGGCGGGACATCCTGTCAAGAGGAGAGAGGAGACAGTAGACACAGAAGAGGTGAGACAACACAGGAGATACACACACACACACACACACACACACACACACACACACACACATACACACATACATTTACCAGTAAATGTATGTAACAATAGTTTTTGTGTGCAAACCAGAAGCACATTTTCTTACTTACTATAATAAGTAGTGTAAGTAAGTAGTCTGAGTGGAATATTTTAGGCATGCGTTGACCCACATAACACTCTTTCCAAATGTGTACCGCCATGTACTCCTGCTTTATTTTCATCACCATCACCATCTTTACTCAAAGCACTTCTGCTGTTCTACGGATACCCGAGAGGGACAATAGTGAGAGAAGTAAACGAAAGAAAGGAGGAAGTTAAGAAAGACAAAAGGCTTAACGTTTGGAGGCTCTGTTGGTGTTTTGCAAAATGTTTTCCCTTAAGTTAAACACTTCTATAGCATGTTAATATTCCATAAAGTAAAAAAAAGTCAAAAGGTCAGATTCTACTCCTTAACTAGTTATGGCATTTTGGCTTTTCAGGACAGAACAGAGCGCTGCTGATGCCAGTATGTAGTAGTAGTGAGAAGGGAGAAGGGACGTGAAGTAAAGTAATAGTTAAAACCCTAAAATAAGGCTTCAATAATAACAATAATAACAATGTTTCCTCAGGCTCATTCACCAGACCAACCCTGCGCTGCCGCCCAGACGCCAGAGGAGAAGAAGGCGTTGCCGGGCGCGGTGAAGCTGCCCGGTCTGGCCGTTAACTTATCAGAGCTGCAGAACGTCAAGAGTGAGCTACGATGGGTCACCAAGGACTAACATGTAGGTGGCCATAGTCGTATGAACTTCCCCTTACTCGTTGCTTTGTGTGTAATAATAATAATGATTATTAAAAAATTGTATTCCTTTAAATATTATTTTCTTTTTGACCTCATTAAAACCAGATATGATGTTATTACATCAAATTAGGAAATGTTTGCCAAAAAATAATAAAAAAAATAAATGTTATTCTTGTGACTTTACTTATGTTTGATATAATTGTTTTTGATAAATTAAAAACACAGTACACAAATGTGCATGAAGTACTAAAATCCATCAGTATATTGCAATAAAGTCTCGTGACTTATATTAATTGGGGACCTGTGGTCGGGCGAGGAGGTGGGTAAGAGAAGGGGATGGCATGAAAACAGAGAAAAATCTATAACAAAAATGTAAAAAGCCGGCATCTCTTGGGATTTCAGTCTGCATATTAGAGCGTAAATATGTTGTACATCTTATGCACAAGAAGTACAGGAAACAAGGGGATTAAAACTAAATTACACTGTAAGTATGCTGCTTTTTAAATTAAATAGTACAAAATTAATAATTAGAAGGCATAAACAGGGTACCAGCAGCCTATTCACAGTCCTTCCACAGGAAGTGATGGAAAGGAGCCAAACCATGTGTGGCACTAAAACTTCAAGTTACACAATACTTTATTAAAATCATTAAATATAACCTGTAACTCGACAGAAAATGAACAATGGACCACCATATCTGGCTAATCATCAATTTAGAAACATAAACCTCTGAAACAATAAAGTATTTAATTATTAAGAAACACCAACACTTTTGTTGTTCCCCAGCAACAATAATGTATTCATATTTTTCTAATATTTCCTTATATAAAAACTTTTAAAAGTAATTTTTAAAACATCCCATAACTTTAAAATAGAAAAAAAAAGTCAGTATTAACACACTGTTATGCCATTGATCCTGCCCAAAAACCATACAGTAGGGTTTAAATAGGAATATTTATCTACTTATTAAAGTGAAACAGTGTCAACAACCTGACCATCGTAACGTTCAGAAGGTGTGTCTCATGAACAGGTAACTTGTGTGTCTCTTGTCATCATTATTTGGATACACAAAATGTCCCACGGATCCCTCAACATCCCGGCTCAAATGGAAATATGTGACGCAGCTCTTCCGACGGTTGAGCAGTGCAGACGGGGTCAGCCAGGAAGCAACACGATGAGTTCCCAAACTGACTTACTGCTTCTTTGTGAAGGATTCAAATCCAGCCAGTGATGTGAAAACAGTAAATAACTATCCAGCTCTACAAATACAGGTCTACACAAACAGTGTTCACAACCTTCACTTATGTAAAAGAGGAATCAGTTATCAAAAGAGTTGTAGGTTAACTCTCCGATTATTGCAACACCCACTTATCCTGGGTCAGATTAGACATTGAGACAAATATATTCACCTAAAAGAGGGAATTTAGAGTTTCAATCCAGATAACCTGCATGTCATTGAGAAGTTGCAGGAAAGATGCAAACTGAAAAAGTTTAAACTCATTTGCTGTAAAGTGACAAAACTAACAACTTGTTTCTGCTCTTTGCACACTATATGTTTTTGACTGCATCTATAGAAGTTATTAATCTGCACCAAAACTATCTGTCTGCTAGATACCTACAAAGGGTACATATACATATATATATATAAAATCATATTTAAAGAAAAACGTGTTCCTGGTGCAAAGCAGAAATGTTTTACCTCAGCATAATAAATTAATCTGAAACAGCTCCCTAATGAGGAAAATTAGAAGTTTAGCAGTTCATTTCTTTACATCCTAACATAACAAGACTTCAGTCATTATGTCTTTGTCACAGATCCTGGATCAGTGAGACTCGTCTCCACAATAACTACTTGCAGTGGCTGGCGCTGGCCACCGGGGGTCACTGTGGGCTGTGTGTCTTTGTTTTGGTCAAGCGGTGTGTGTGTGTTGATGCCTCTGTGTGTGGGCAGGACAGGTTGAGTCAGGCTCTATATTTACTCTTTATGTGTGTGTGTGTGTTTTAGAAAATGTGTGTGAGCATTGAGGGGCAGTCTGTGCTGAGACTCTCAGCGGGACACAGAAACCACAATATCCAAACACTGTGTGCTGCTCGGCCCTGCCCATCCCACGTGGGTGTGCGTGGGAGATAAACGAGAGGCTGGTTCAAGATCTAGTTCAAAACATGTTTCTCTGAGGCAGAAAAATAATACTACATGCTATTTCTGAGCAGGTTCACAGAGTGTATTTACACTGGGAGAGGGATCAAATTACTCTAAAAAGTCAGCAGCTGCATGCAACATGTGCCTGATTTCTGACTACTTTAAATGGACACCATTTGTCCCACAATGCAATGCACAAAGACGACAGAGGAGCTACTCACAACTGCAAAACAAACAAACAAGTGAAGGAAAGCACAACAAAAAGTGTGGGACTAATAAAGGATTATCTTATTTTATCTCTTATCTTTCGTACGTAGCTGCAGGCTATTTCAACTTGAAGGGTCAGCTAAGCTAACTAGCATACTTTAGTATCATTTTAAAGCTTTAAACAAAGAGTCCCAGGCTTCATCTTATCAGCTTCCCTCGTAGCCTCTTGTACTTAAAACTGGGCTCTAGTGTAACGTCACTTAACCAGCAGAACTGCAGCTCTTTGGCTCCATCCACTGATGACCCGCGCTGCCTCCTCAGAAGTGTTTGTACGACTCAAGTTTTTGAGATGGAAATGAACGGCGAGGGGAGATCAGGACACAGAGAGAAGAAACAGAAAATGGAAAAAGGTCAAGATAGAGATAAGTGCAGAGAGAAACCAGATCTTATACGTGAGGCTGCATCAGTGGATGCAGTGACCTGGTCTTCTCCTCATCGTCCCGCCGTCTCTCAGGGGTCAGCAGCTCGGAGACCCGCAGACAGTAAAGCTCCCTCACACTGTCTTTATCTGTCTCTTTCCTTTAGGATGCCCAGCCAGGCGGAGACGAAGGCAGACAATCTTCACAGACACAGACGTGCCCACTGCCACCGAAGACTTGAGCAGGCTACAAACTAATCCCAACATGTTCGGAAAACAGCTTTGTGTAAACCAACGTCTGCAGAAAATGTCCAGCGTTTAACCAAAACCACCAAGAAGCAGGCGTCCATTCCTTTCAGTGCTCCTCATAGGTTAAAACCACTGCATATATCTATATTTATCTTACCACGTGTACCAGATTGTTTCATCACACATCCAAACTTAAATCACAATTTATACAAAAAAGTGAAAAGACGTCGAGATAAAGCAAGATATTCTGGCTTGTTTCCGCTGCAGAAAAGACTCCACTCTACTTGGACGTTTAGGAGTAAGTGAGTTGTGTTGCAATAACAGCTTATTCTTGAGCATATTCTTTGCTTTTTTTTAGTTTTTGTGGGTATTTTTAAGTGTGAAGTAGCTGGTTTTGAACGACAGTTGTTGACAATTGATGTGCATTTAAGGAATGTGATTGCTCTTTTTTTCCCATTCTGTCAAAACTCCAACTATTCAGCACTGATTTATACTGATACTTTCTATTCAATTATTCATTTCTAAATGTTGTAACAATTTGCAATAATGCGATGGGATTCAAGTTCAACTGTACCGATTATTTTTTGTTTTTGGAAGTGGGAATATAACGTTTTACTTGTTTTGTTGATATAATTCCCAGAAACTGGTATCTTCAGGAAAATGTTGCAATAAAACAAGATGGTTCTGAAAATCCAAACCAAAGTGTTCTATTCATTACTGCCTACATCTGCTATTACAGTAGAGGACAATATAGTGGTTACATGTTATGTTTTTCTTATTTACTCCAGTCATTTAAAAAATACTTGCTTCATGTAATTAGACCTTTGCAACATCTTTAGCTATGCTAGCGCTCTACTATGCTACTACTTTGGTCCAGACTCAAATATCTCAACATCTATTGGATGTATTGCCATGAAGTTAAGGTCAGATATTAAAGGTTCCCAAAGGAAGAATCTTACTAACGTTGGGGATCCTCTGACTTTTCCTCCAGCACCTGCTGCAGGTCAAATTATTTACTTGTCCAGTGAAATGTTTCACTTATGCATTGAAATATCTAGAAATCTACAACATGGATTGGTACAAAATTGTTCCCAGATGATATATCCTCTAACTTTATCTCCACTCTCAACTTTTCCTGCAGCGCCATCATCCAGTCAAACATTTTAATTTGTCCTATATTTTGGTTTAAGACCAAATTCCTGAAAAAAGAATGACATTCAGCCTCAGTTATACTTTGTTTTTAGAGCTGATTAGCAAGTTTTAAGCTAACCTCATGAACACAGTAAAAATGTATACCTGCCAAAAAAGCAGCATTGTTAGCATGCTGACTTTAGCATTTATCTGCATGTAAAGAACACCCTCACAGAGCTGCTATTGTGGCTGTAGACTCCTGTTGTTTCCTTGTCATGTTAAGAGAACATATCATGTCGCTGGTGAAGTTGGCAGCTGTATGAGCTAACAAAGACAGGCGACGGGACTTGACAGTTTTTAAGGTGATGTTCAAAGGGGATTATTTCGTGGCAGAGACTTCCTTTTCTTCCTGAGGGTGTCAGCAGTTTCACAGTAAACAGAGTGTCACATAATGCATGTGCTAATTAACAAAAAAATAAAAAGATCCATTCAGGCAAAGTTAAATACCCTGAAACTCTGACAAAACCAAATTAAAACTGCATGTTCTCTGTGATGGAAGATGTGGCCCGGAGAGTCTTTCCGTCAGTTCAGCCCTGATATTTCCAGCAGTAATATTCTTATATTATGTGCATATGTAATAGGTATTAGTGGGTTTTAGGTGTGAGTCAGGGGCGTCTTTGTGCATAGAGTCACTTTGATCCTCCAAATCCAACTGTTTCAAGAAGGAATGCTGCAATAACACATGCACACACACACACACGCACATGCCATTACAGCAGATATCCATCATCACATCACATGTCCACACAGACGAACACACTCAGAGCAGCTGTAGCTAAGTTTAGCCTCCATCAGGTCACGACGGAGAGAGAAACACTGCTGCTGTTTTAACAACCACACGAGAGGACCTGACATCGTGTGGGAAAGATTGAGAACACTCTTTGCGAGTAGCCCGTGTGCTGAATTTTGAACAAGTGTAACCTTTCCCGTGAAACACAAATCTGTGAGTGTGAGCCAGCGTCTACTCGGAGGTCATAACTCACTACAAAATGCACGATGCAGAGAGCGCTGCGAGAACTTGTAAGTGTGCGATCAAGCGATGTCGTTTGCATACTAATGTGCATGTATCAGAGTAGCAAAATCAATCAACACGCCAGACAACCAGTAGCCTGGCATTGAAAACAAGTATTCATTATCACTCCCACCACCACCACCCTCCTTGTCTCTGCATAGAAATAGGAAGATGACATCAATCTGCATGATTTCATTGCCGCACATGTCACAATAAGGTTAAATGCCTCCCAGAAGGACACGGCTTAGTCCGATATCAAAATGCAATGCGCTACTCTTGACACTTGTAAAACATCTTTTGACAGCTTGGCAAAACTTCCTCTGGTTTTGATATGTGCCATTCCGCCGAGCTGTGTGTCCGTGTTTTCTATTCCTGTCACCATGGCTATGAGGACACAGATAGGTGGAATCCTGGTCTGCAGACTGTGAGCAGCTGTATTTGCCAACGAGTTCATCCGCTGGGTTAGACGCTACAATCCCGCCAGGCTCCCTCTGAGCGTGTGTGTGTGTGTGTGTTTACCCATGCATTTGCTCACATGCCCGGTTGGTGTGTATGTTGGATGCATGTATTCGGGGTGATACTCCCTCCCGGAGGCAGCGAGGAAAAGGGCAGCGGACAAACGCAAAGCCAACAGAGCCGGGACATCACAGAAAGAGACAGGAGGCTTTGGGACGGAACAAGTCTGAGGGCCAATAAAAGGGTGAGGGAGGGGTGTACATTGGATTGTGTGTGTCTTTGTAAGGGGGTGTTGGTATCCTTCCTATCATGGTGTCACATGCCCGCCGCCGCAGACAGAGCAGAACAAAAACACAGATGGAGAGACCTCGACTAAGGACGCGCACTTTACCCTCTTTTCCTCTCAACTCTCCTGTCTTTTCCCATCACTTCCTGCTCTTTGCTTTCAACAACCTCTTATCCTCTTCTCCAACTAATGTCTGATTCTCTTTCTGTCAAACGTTCTTTAGTGCAGCTCGTCGGCTACATCTTCTTTGACAGCACTTTCTGCTTTTAATGTTTCCTCCTCTTACTTCCCTCTCACTGCTGCTTCCTGACTAAGCTTTTTCTCACCAATTAATCCTCCTTTTGACTGTTCCTCTCCAATCTCTAATCCTCTCACCCCTTATCTTTTGGATGGATAGCTACTCCCTCCTCTACAGTTCGTCCCACAGAACCGGGCTTCTCTCCGGCTTCCAGCGCCTGCGCTCTCAGGGAAACATGTGCGATGTTGTCCTGGAGGTCGGCGGTGTGTCTTTCCCTTGTCATCGCGCCCTTCTGGCAAGCTCCAGCGAGTATTTTTGGGCTCTGTTTGGAGAGACTACCGCAGAGAGATTAGCGGCCTCCATTAGCCTCCCGGCTCTAACACCTGAGGGTTTAGACGCCATTCTGGACTTCCTGTATTCCGGTTGGCTCAACATATCATCGCCTACACTTCCTGTCCTGTTAGAGGCAGCCAGGTACTTGCAGGTGGAGACAGCCGTGTCAATATGTGAGCGCTTCATGACTGATGGTTTAAATGCAGATAATTGCTGTTGTTATGCTAACCTGGCCGAGTGTCACACCTTGTCAGATGCCCTTGAAGCTGCCAATCAAACCATTGCTGTGGAGATGGGGACGCTGTTGCAGGAAAGCAGGGATGACCTTCTCGGGCTAAATATGCAATCACTGATGGCGGTGCTCGATGCCGACGAGATACCTGGTGTCAAGGAGGTGGAGCTCATAAAGCTGGCTCTGCATTGGCTGGATGAGAATGGGCCCCTCCCTCTCCTGAAATCAAATCTCCTGCTGAGTCATCTGCGCTTCGGATTGGTGGCCCCCTCTGACCTCACCGATCTCAGCCACGCCCACAGAGCCATGGCCACACCTCTCATCAGAAGCCAGCTGACACGGGCGTTGGAGTACCACAGGCTGGGCTCAGCTCAGCCAATCAGACAGAGCAAACAGTCGACGCTCAGGGCGTCGCCCAATCGCGTGCTGCTTGTGGGTGGAGGATCCCGCCCTGATTGGCCGGAGCAGCAGATGCTGGCGTTTGATCCTAGAAGCAGGAAGTTTTCATCTCTGAGCTCCGGCATCCCGCTGCGACTGAGAAATCCCTGCGTGTGCTCGGTGGGGGGTTTCCTCTTCGTGATCGGCGGAGGGGAAGTGAACGAGGGAGGCGAGGATGGGAAGAAGTCTGTCACTGTGGCGACATCCAAGAAGGTGTGGCGCTACGATCCCCGCTTCGACCGCTGGGAGACGATGGAGTCCATGCTGGAGGGGCGGGAGCAGTTCACCTGCTGCGTGGTGGAGGATGCTATTTACGCCATCGGGGGACGACACACGCGACCAGACGACGACACACACACATCTATAGCTTCTGTTGAGTTTTACGACATGGCCACAGGATCGTGGAGGAGAGGAGCGAAGATGCCTCGCCCCCTTTACGGCCACGCTTCTGCTGTGCTTGACAAAGGCATCTATGTGTCAGGCGGACGTTCGAGCAACCAGGGCGGCAGTAACCGTGTTGATAACCAGGATGACCGCAGAGAGAGCAGCAGAGAAGTCCTGTTCTGGGACCTCAAAGGCAGAGTGTGGGAGAAGCGAGCGTCCATGACCATCGGCAGGTTCAGCCACCGCCTGGCGATGGCCCACGGTTTCATCTACGCCCTGTTGGGAATGTACGAGCCTTTCTGCGACATCGAGCAGTACGATTCGCAGTCAGACCACTGGACCCGCCTCCGACCGCTTCTCACTGGCTCCTTCGACTACGGGATGGCGTCGACGCCATCCGGGAATCTGCTGGTGTTTGGCGGGAGGAGGTGGAGCGACGGACAGGAGGTGATAGTGAAGAGTGTGATGGAGTACGATACAAAGACGGATCGCTGGAGAGAGATCTGTCAGCTCCCCAGACCTCTCACTGGGACTGAGTGCACACTGCTGCCTCTTCCAGACTAAAGTGCACATAACGAAAGAAAACCTTTACATGAGAGTGGAACAATTTCACTTTTAGTTGCAACATAGTCTCAAAATGATGAGAACTGAGCACACGTTTTACACAACGTCAATACATTTATAAGGCACTGAAACCACAATCTCTAGTCTTGTCTCACTAGAGGAGAACAGATGTGTACTATCACAGGATATTTAGAAAAATAACAATAAAACAAGTGAAATGTTCTTACTCGATTACTACTTACAGAAACCGTTTGACATTTTGGGGAATAAGCATCCTTTCTCGCTGAGAATTAGACAATACGATTGATAACAATCTAATAACAAGGTAAAACCAGAAGACAATTAGCTTAGCATTATTAGCTTAGCAGGATTTTAACACTTTGGTTTTTGTATAGATGATACAAAATACATATATCACTCGAATATATATACATATATATTCTCGTCTTACTCGTCCTTGACCGAACCTAAGCTGCTCGTAACCTTTTGTAAAACATTTTAATAAAACAATCAAGATCGTGTTATGAGCTTTAGAGTTGTTTTTATGCTGATTTGTTACTTTTGGTCATATGCTAGCTATTTCCCCCTGCTTCAAGTCTTTATGCTAAGCTAAGCTACTCTTTCACTACATATAGGAGTTTGACATTTAAGGATGTACACTTTCTCTTATCAGAGTTAGATGAGTAAGATCCTCACCACATCTCATGTCTGTACGCTAAATATGATTAACCAGGAGACGGTTAGAGCTTTGCATAAATGTGACCTCCCGTAAAATCAGAACTTGTCTTTTTAACAATTCAGTTTTGTGTACAGATTAAACAAACATAAAACCTGTTTATTAATGAGGTGTTTGGATACATTTTTTCCCTTATGACAAAACTAGCTAGCTGTTTCCCTTTTTTAGTTTGCTACTGAGCTAAGCTAACACACTTTTGCTTCTTTTGAGTGGTAGAAATTTACACATGAACTCTTGGCGAGGAGGTAAATAAGCATAGATCCTACGAGGTTGAATGATTCATTTAAAAAGAAAACAACATGTCAAGACCTGTTAAAAAGGGGCATTTGATTGTGTTTTTGTTTTTGTTTTTCGAGTGCATGACCAAGACCAATCACTCACTGAATTGATCGATTGCTGGAAAGAAAAAAGTGCAATTTAACTCTTTGGCTTTGTCATTTTATCATCGATACTTTTAAGTATTTAATGGATACATTCATCAAGAGCTAATAACAAGCAACCTCTAGTATGAAGTGATATATAAGGTGTTTTGTCAATATTCCTGTGACCAATTGTGACAATGTTCCAAGAGGAGGAATAAATCAAGAGCCAAGGAGGGAGATAAAGGGGATTTTGAGAACAAGTAGATGAGAGGTAAGGAGATTTAGTAGGACGAAGGTAAGTCCTTAACAAATGTGTTTTCGGGAGGAGGTTGAGCCAGGCTGCGGAGGAGGCTATCGCCACATAAGAGGGAACAGAGAAGAAGGAGATAAGGTGAAGGTGGAGGAGGAACAACAGCTAAACTAAGCTGAATATTTTATGGAAGATGAAAATTTGATGCATGTGACATTCCTGTCTATTTACAAGCGATGAATAATTTAAGTTTTCTATAAGATAGATATAGAAATAAAAGCAAACTGAGGACATCGATGGTGTTAGTCTTATGTTCTTGTTTTCCATCTGTACTGACAACCAAATGGACAAAGTAGTAGGTGCAGCGTAAAAAAATGCATTTGCAGGAAATCATTTGCATGTTTTGTGAATAATAGCTACGTAACCTGCTTGAGTTCATTATTCATGAATGTATGTGAGCTACAATGAAATATTGTTAGCTAAACATTTTAAGGGAATTTTGGAAATTTTGCCGTTTCAATACAGCGTTTTTAATGCGATACTGCAAAAAATGTGTATAAAATATGGGAATGGAATCACGGCCATAGTCAGTTGGTCTCATCTGAAATGGTTTCAGATGAGTCGTACTGCAGGAGAGTCGTAGCTCTCGCTCAGTTGTGATAGTAGGTATAAGGTGGCAGGGAATATAATTGGTCAACTGGGAAAAGGAGCAGAGTTGAGTTTCTAAACCAGAGGATCTCCGCTGGTTTGTCATGGACTCTCTCTCTCTTTGTCCCTTGTTGATAGCGACGGTACAGCAGCTGTTACCGGCGCTCATCACATCCTCCTTCTCACCGTCCACCGCAGCGAAAACAAACCACAAATACACCTCAATCCAAATGACCACACTTTATTTATCCACTCTTCTCCTTCCGACAGCAACATGTACAATGATAAATAAATACTTATTATTTTACCATCATTTATAGATTGGACATTAAACAATCTTTACTCAACGGTCCCCAAAAATAACCTGATATAATTAGAGAACATTATCCAAGACACTTAGTTTGCACTCTATAAAGAGAGCTCTACCGTATCTCGAGATTTCAAACACAAAAACAGAAAAGGAATACTGTGTTTATCTACAATACAGACATGCTACTACAACCACGGGCAGCAGCATAGAAAGAGCATTCAAACTGTGTGATGTGCGTGTTTATTGGCATGCGTGCAGGTCTTTGTGTATCTGTGTGCACGATTGCTCATAGTTGTGTGCAGCGTCTCTGAAGCCATTTGGCAGCAGCGTACAAATAACAAACTAATATTCTTTTTATTAGATCCATATTTCAATTCCTATGCAAATGTTTCCTCATATTCTCTATGATGCATGCAGGATACAGAGAGCCAAACGGTCTCTGAGGAAAAATCCACTCTTAGAAACTTTTACACAGTTATTAGATATAAGTTTCAGGAGTTATTTGGTGATTTTCCTTTCTTATTACTTTAATTAGAGATTTATTTTCTATGAGGACCGAAACAATCCTTGTTGTTTTCAAGTGCTAAAGCCTCTGAACACCCACTCATGTGTTTTCACTTGATTAGACCTCTGTTTAGGTTGAAGGTGGGCTGGAGCTTTGATGGGAATTCACAAGCTCACAAATCTACCAATAAGAATGATAGAGGTGTAATGTGTCCCGTCCTAACTGGTGCAGCAAAGCTGTAAGGGGAAACTCAGGAAGATGACAATCAAATACGGTCACGCCCACACAGAGAAGAGGTCTAATCCACCAGATTAACTGAAAAAAATCAGAGTGGGTGCTCAAAGCCTTTAAAGGGAGGTTGACCGTTAAAGCCACGGAAAATCAAAAAGACGAATTAAAACAGATTCAGAAGCAAATAACAAGACGGCGGTCTGCCCCCGTTGAAGGTATTTCTTTTGTGTATAACATGTCGTCCGCACTCCAGAAGTGGCAGTAATTAGCCTTTTAAAACTTCAAAACACCAGATGGAGATTTAAAAATAATAATCGTCAATTATTTCGTGGCATAATTTGGATAATTTAACCTCAACAGACTTTTTGTTATCGGACAGGTACAGGATGCATTGGTACAAATAATGCATTCAGTTGAGTACAAAATTACAATTTTAGCATTTTGTATTTCTACACAGAAAAAGGTTGATCTTGTCCTTCTCTTACACTGGTTACCTCTGTTGGGTTTGTTTGTCTGTTTGTGAGCACGATTACGGAAAAAACTACAAGGTCTGAACTCTCCTAGTTCCTTTTTTCGGTTTGTTTTGTTGGTGTGTTTGTTGGTTAGCAGGATAACAGGAAAACTACTGGCTTGATTTTCTTTTTGGTGGAAGGGTGTAACATGGGCGATGGTAGATCCCATTCAAATTTGGAGCATATCCGAATGTCCTTCTAGTTTAAAAAATGGATTTCTTCGTGACCGTTATGGACTACATGAACTCTTTTAATGTATATATGTGCACGTAAAGTATTTTCATAAGACATATGTGAAAGAAATGTGACCTATCCATAAGATTAGGGAATGCAATGAAAGATATTACAGTTTCTCTATGCAGATATAAAAGGCTTTGTTTGACCATAAGCTGTTTTTTATGGACATGTAATTTGCATAAAACAATAATAAAATGTCATGCATTATAAAAATCAAACTGAAGATGTTTCATGTTTCCACCAAAGTGATTGTGATTGAAACGAAACATTTAGGTCTCGAATTTAATTAATGAGCTCTAATAGAGGCAGCTGATCGATATCAATGATTATATTCTAGGACGGGTCTCGCTGGAGGTGAAGTCATACTGACAGTGAAAATGAAGCGACAGCATGAGAGGGAAACTGTTTTGTGCAAGGATACTGTTAAAAAGTGTTTTTAGGGTGGACTTTTCCTTTAGAGGGGTCTTATTCCAGGAGGCGAGTGTGCATGATTCAGGTCCAGCCAGCCCAGCCCAGTACTGTACGTACTTCTACCAAACCAGAACAAACAAAAAGTCTGCTAATTGTTCTTTGCACTCACTGTACAGAAAATATCATCAAGTATAAGGCTTGATAGAATACAATGTGCGTCTATGAGACACTGTGCAGTCGGTATAAACATGGCACAACAAGCAGGATGAAACACTGTGGCACAATGGCGGCTCGTGAAGATACGACTCTGAGGTCTTCGTCCACGTCAGGAGGGACAAACTGATGAAAGTCGTCCAAAGTAAGCACTTTAAAAGAGCACGAAAGCTGACATGTAATACTGAAGGATCAGTTAATCGTCCGCCCCTGAGCCAGCTGGAGTGGCATAACCAATCAGCACGTAGATTGATGTGACACGAGGGCCACACAGGCGTCTCCTCAGAAAAGCTGTCATGGTGCACTTGAACCCCGAGGCTGCCAAAAGCGTATCGGGATGTGGAGCCAAGCTGTCCCTAAAGCCCGTCGCTGATCGCAAACCCCCGATGCGTCAAAAAACGTCCGATGCTGTTTGTTCAACTCTTTCCAGAATCAGGAGATGAGAGCAACTCAAGCATGAGTGTGTGTTTGGTGTGTGTGTGTGTGTGTGTTGGACTCGTCAGACGTGGGTCTCGATGTAGGAGTGCGTGTGAGAGAGCGAGGGGGTGAGGGGCGGGCCGGGGTCTGAGTCAGCGGTCGAGTCTGGCTCCTGAGAGAACAGCTCCTGATAGGCTCGTTTCCACTCCTGGAACTCTGCCGACGACAGCTGGGGATTGGCCAGCAGCCTGTCAATCAGCGCTAGCTCCCCCTCCCTGTCCTATGGGGGGGATGCACAAACACAGGAGGGAGAGGGGGGGGAGGGTGCACTTTTTTAGATTCATAATTTTAGACCACTAAACCTTTGAAACGCAGACACACGTGAAGCAAAACACACACTTAACGGGATACACTAAGTTCTGAGGGAGAGTTCACATTAGTTACACTAAGACCATCCAGTTGTTCTTGGTACATTATTAGTTTTACTTCACAGCTCCTCTAATGCTACATGTTCAGTAAGGAAGCCTTCGTAAAGGGTTACAAAGTTACCACAGTTGATATTGATAATGATTAATCATGTATTAATGTTGTTTTTCTTTGACATTAGCCATTAATAATTTGGGTGTGGGATTATCAAAATAGCTGCAAGTTAATTTTCTGTCAATGGATTAACTGATTAATCGGCTAATTATTTCAGCTGCTTAACTGTTGTATGAGCTCTGTGCTCTGTTTTGTAAAAATCATAATTTGTTAAGTAATTAAAGACCTTTACACACCAGGGACGTTTGTTTTCCGCGTGATTAATATGCATGGCATAACATTTTTGAACTGTTGTTTTTTTTTTGTCATGAGTACTTTCACACAGAAAGCAAATATTGCGCAGCGAGTCATTTTTTTCGGAAGAATTATGATTTTTCTGAGCTTTCGCACTGCGATTAAAAGCATCGACCAATCACGTTGTGCAGAGCGGACATATTCAAAACTTACACTGGACGTGGTCACCGTGTCGTTGACCGTTGGTTTGTGTACTACGCCTCGAGTTCACAATGTTAAAGTCATTTTTAGGTGACAAAGATTTCACAATTAACTTTTATGAAGTGAAGACACACTGTGAAAAGGTTAAAGTTGTAAGACAAAATCACGGAAAACTCCCAGACCAGACAACGTCGTGGAAGAGACCCGTCAATCACAGTAGCTCCGCCCTTTATGGTCTATCCAACTCTAAATGGACCATAATTTACTAAATGAACATCATGCTGTATTGAAGAAGACTTGAAACTAGAGATTGACACCATAAACTCATGTTTACAATGTTTACTGAGGTAATAAATCAAGAGAGAAGTAGAGTCATTTTCTCATAGACTTTTATACAATCTGACTTCTTTCTGTAACCAGAGGAGTCGCCCCCTGCTGGACATTAGAAGTAATGCAGGTCTAAGGCACAGACAGGCAGCGCAGACAGGATCAACTCCTTCTGTTCTTTCCTTTCACAATAAAAGCCCTAGACACATACACTGCGTAACTGCGGGAACTCAAATTCTCTCAGAGCATTTTCGCAAAATGAAACTCAATAGAATATCTTATACTAGTTTCGACAATACAACAATTTACCTCCTGGTAATTGGTCCTCTGTCTGCACGAATCTATTCAAACCTTTCTATAGAAGTGTTTTGCATCACTGCCAGTATGCCAGATTTAGAAAATATATTCGCAGGCAAGGATTCCGCTCTTTTGTGTTGTTTATTTGTCACGCTCCAAGTGTGTAAAGGCCATAAAGTGGTAAATATATAAAACATTTTCCTCCTGAAATGTAGTGGAGTAGAAGCAAAAATAAAATACGTCGTACCTCAAATCTGTACTTAAGTAAATGTACTAAGTTACTTTCCACCACTAGATTTAGCTTGTTATTTAAGCTGTTAATTTTGACAAATAAAAGACACGTGGAAAATACGCTTTTGTTTTTTCCACAGCAACCACATCGGATGAGTCGCTGCTAATCACTCAAATACAACCTGGTGCAGTTCTGGGTCTGCCAGGGTCACATGGATGACTTTGGGCTCTCAGTACAGTTCATCCAAAATACCCCCCAAAAACACTTGGTGTATTCCTTTAAGAGACGCCAGACATGGAACAAACATGTAAGCTCCTCCACCCAGCCTGCACCGGCAGACACGTGCAACCAAAACCACGCACCCTCGCAAAAAAAGCTACCGTAGCTACACGCACAAGCAACAAAGAACCCCGCCCACGTACACGCAGGAAGCAACAAAGATGCAAACTCTACAGAGACAAAAAAAAGAAAACAGCCACAGCAAAAGAGCCATTCACAGGCACCCAGCCCAGAAACAGTACCACTGAGCTTATAGCATAAAGCCACAGATGGCTGCTTGACAAAGTTCTCAAACCAGAACCGAAGAGACAGACTGGGACAAATGACAGCACTGAAACTAACCAGACAGAGACAGCGTGTGTGTGTGTGTGTGTGTAAATGTGTACATCAGGGTTAGAAAATCATGGTGTATAACAGCTAAAAATGCACATGGAGATAGTATCGTTTGATCCATTTCACCCCGCTCACATTGAATGTGTTTTTTGTGCATTTGTGTGTAGATGCAGGCCAAGAAAAATACACTATGACGAAGGTAATACTTTCAGTCTAAGTTGAATGAGAAAACCCAAAAGAAAACTTCCCAATTGAAGGGGTGAAAAGACAGCGTGTGAACAAAGAGAAGGGATCAATTGCATCATTTTCTTCTGCAAGAATTGCAACAAAACGGTGAGATATGAGTGAGATATGAAGTTCATTCCAATTTAAAGTTACAATCCTTAAGATTTTCCTGAAATGGACTCCTGTTTGGCCATTAAATGTTGTGACGTTCAGTCTCTAAATTGCTCCAGTGTTGGATTCAGATTGCCTTCACACACAGAGGAATATTATCTCATTGACAACAGCTTCACTGTTTACCGCTCAGCCTCCTACAGACGTATCATAGCTGTCTTAAGTCACTGCTAAAGCAAAGCAAACATCTCCTGCTGCTACTTCACATTCAAAGTTTTCAACTAGCAAATCACAGCCTGCTGTTTTTTTTTTTTTCAGCATTCGCAGAAAACAAAATGTTTTTAGCATTTTTTTAACAACAGATCGGTTTTAAATTTTGCAGGAGCAGCGAAAGTGAGCTGTGAGGTGAAGAGCTCCAGGTGCTCCACCGACTTCTTTATTAAAACAACTGGAGTTTGTTTGGCTGCACTGTAAACAGTAAAAACACCAGTTGCTCTTCTGTGATATTTCTGACAACGTATAGCTGCTCAGTAAGTGTTTGCTGGAGTACGTGCAGATACCACCAGGATGGACATCTTAAGGATTATGACTTTAATATAAAACAAATCTTAAACCAAAAAAAAGGTTTATTTGAAATCTAAAAAAATCTGTAAAACGTCTCAAAAAAGGAATGAAAATGTCATTTATGTGTGCATGATAATCTATGTAAATGTGCTCACTTGTGTACATTTATGCCTACATATTTCCTGCACGTGTGCAGACCAACCTTGAGCGTGGAGGTCAGTATGCGGAGACGGTGCAGACGATCGTTGAGCTGAGGGTCGGCGGCCCGCCGGAGGAACGACTGCCTGCACTCTGACTGACCTTTGGCGTCCGACCCGCGACCCAGAGGACACACCCCGCTCTGCTCGCACGCACGGAACAGGTCGCCCAGGGAAGCGCCCTCGCTGCCGCCTTCACGCAGTCGAGGGAGGGAAACAGAATCGCACGTGTTAACGTTGATTTAAAGCCTCGTCCGTTCAACAGATGATTTAAAAGGGCTGTCAAAAATCAGATCAGATTGAGTTTTTATCTCAACCACTGGAGGACAGCAGCACACACCTCACCACTATAATGACTTGTATTATAATAATGAGATCCTCCTGTCTCTTTCCCTTCTGCCTCAGGGCTGTCCTCTCTCCTTTGTTTTTTTTTTGCTCGACTGATTATATAAGAATTCACATGATTATTATACTTAGTTGTTTACTATTTCGGTTTTCCTCTCTGTATGCCGCTGGGCTCACCTTGATTACCAGTACAGTATTGTCTCATTAGCCTCATTAGTGAGGCTCAGCGTATTACCGTGTCACCCTACTCGATACCGATGATGATTTTAAATGGAAGTGTGTCTGCCTGAGAGCGTTTTTTAAATTCTGGCACATGCACTGACGTCAACGTCTTCACCTTAAAATAATCTTTTATTCGGTCTCTAGTGGCTGTCACTCAGTGTCAGACATAATTTCTCCTCTTCTGCTCTCGCTTGACGTCTGCTCACCCCCCACAATACATCCCTACATGTACTCTCTGATGCTCCCGCTTGGACTCACCATTGTGTGTTTGCTGTTGTTCTTTCGCAGGGGGCGTGAGCAGTGTGTGTAGGTTGCTGTCTCGCGGCAGTGTGAAGCTGCGGGGTTTCCCTCCCTGGGTTGCCATAGGAATCAGCCTCTGCATGGCCATGGGCAGCGGGACATTCCTCTGTGCGGGGAGGGTGTAAACGGCTCCGGCCATCATCGTCCCACCGCCCGGACCGGGCTCAGCAAAGACGGCGTCCTCTGTCACGCAGAGAACAAGGAATAACAAACAGTTCTGCTCAATTGAAATAAGCGAATATGAACTAGATCCCTCGTTTTTATACGGGACATAAAGAAAACAACTAAAGAGATTCAATATCCAGCCGAAAACCTCTTCAACGTATTATTTACTGACAGTCTGGCCGTGTTCATTTGTTTCATGTCTCGTCTATTTTGTGGTCTTGTAACAGAGATACAGTGTGTGTGCTTTGGGATTGTGGGAGAGCTCTGACGTGTGTCCTTGTTAATGTTACTGTTTGTCATTTGGATTAACTACTATTATCTATGTATATGTATGTCTTTTTATGTCCATATATTTGTGCCTAAAGATGGTGCATCTCAAGGAGCTTATATATATATATATATATACACAGTATTTATTTTTTGGGAAAAATCGGATGTGACCTGAATATAATGGCAACACATGAGAGGGACTAATGCTGTCGCACTATAATATAATCAATTGAAGCATTTAATTGAAAGATTAGATGTTCATCAGCTGGTTGGATCCATGAAGCGTCTGGTGTGTCAATGTGTTACCTAGCGGTCCAGTCTGCAGGTAGTGCAGTCCAGCCTCAGTCAGCGGCGTCTCAATCAGGTCCTGCCAGGAACGTCTCTGAGACGAGGAGGAACGGCCCGGAGACCCCGTCTCACTGCCGCCCCCTGCAGGACTGGATCGGTACTACAGGAAACAAAAACGGACAATCAAGTACCTGTCAGTAATGTTTTCTAGGATTTTATATGTGTTATATGTTCTGGAGAACTTTCCGATCGACAAAAGGTGAGGCTTAAAAGAGCAAAATAATCCACGAGTCCCCAGTTGATCGTGGTGACGTTTCTTCAGTAAAATGATTGTTTATTGTATGTCAGTGCAATCATTGTTCACTATAATAACATTAATTAATTAGTGAACAATAGTTAATACAAATTGTATTAATTGTCTGGGGACCATAAATAATCACAGCAAAATTAATGTCAATCAGGCCTTTAGTTGTTGAGATATCAGGCTTCGGACAGACGGACACGCACCTCTATAGCATCACATCTGTACTGCACGTCGCTGCTGCTGCTGCCCCCTGGTTTCTGCCCGCTGTGCGTGGTGCCGCCCCCGAGAGGACCAGGATGGTACTGCGGCTCTGCGGCCACCGCGGGGGCATCGCCGCAGAGGAAGTCCTCCTGGGAGGAGCGGGAACGAGACGTCTCCGTGGAAGACAGTCGAGTGGTCCGGCCTTCCAAATAGGCACTCATCTGACGGACGAGGAGGCAAGGTGATGATCGAATAAGTGTGCGAGTGAGAAGGAAAGAGACAAAGACAAAGTAATGAGTGTTTGTAGAAAAAGGCAAAGATGCTTTATTACAAGCATGTTAAAATATTATTATCTCCCCTGTGTGATTGTATGAAATAAAACACTGCTGTATTGCTGCTGTTGTTTTAGTTTTTTTTATTTTTCATTTAGGCTAAAAAAATACGAGACATTTAATGTAGAGCAAAGCAGCGGGTGGGCCAATTATAGCGTCAATTATACTAAATCTGGCCCCACCACTCCCTGTAGGCTAAATTAGCAATAACTTTAACTGTTAAAATGGACTGCGGAGGAGCACTGAGCGTGATTATTGCCTTCAAGTACAGCATGTACTTTATATGAGTGTGTAATACAGTTGTGTGTGTGTGTGTGTGCGTGACTCACTGATGGAGGCCGTGGGTAGGTATCATATGGAGGTGGGGGACTGTCCTGTTTGGGGCTGGAGGTGGTGTCATCCTCATGCTCACTCTCACTCCAGTAATCTGCAGGAAACCCACACACAGGCAGTCAGAAACACCATCTCTCTCACTCTGGGAAAACCATACAAGCATAAATGCAATGGGAAGAGGAGTATTGGAGGGTGGGGTACTTAAAGACACCATCATGCCTGTGAGCGAGTCACTGAGCGAACCCTCACCCTGCTCCTGGCGTATCCTCTCTCGCTCTGCGTAGCCCACAGCGGCCATGTTGAGACGACTCAGCCATCTGACAGAAAGGAGGAACATCCAGCTACAGTGAATCATGTCTATATTACAATATCACAAAAAACATCCGTTTAGTAACAGTTCGCTTATTTGCTTTCTTACGGAGCGCCAGATGAGAAAATCGACACCATATCTCATATCTATCAAGCCAGGAGACGACTAGCTTAGCTTAGCTTAGCTTAGCTTAACAGCGAGACTGGCAACAGCGAGAAGTAACAGAATCTGTCTTTCCTGTCTGACAAAAGCAAAACTCTTTCTGGTCCGTATGTAGTCACCTCAAGTATTCAGAGTCTCTGAGAATTTTTCTCGCAAATATATGACTTAAATTTCTTTCTCATAAATGTTTCATATCAGTTTTTTCCTGTAAGTGTATCACTTCAATCTCAGAGAATATCCAAGTCTTTTTCTCGTAGATTTCTGTTTTATATATTAACTCCCTTCCCGGATTTCTTTTGGCCCATATATACGCTGCCGCTCACTAATTAACACATTATATATTGTTTGTGTAATCAGCATCTTTTATTATTTTCACTTTGACATGATCTATGTCAGATGTCAAAACTGGAGTCTCAAAGGAAATTTCTCTTGCAAATTATGTTTTTCATACACATATAAATAATGTGCAAATAAAAAACAGTCCTTCCTTTCATCATCAAATGGAAAACACACTTGTCTTGTGCTTTGGGGATCGTAAACAGGAAGCTGCACTCTTGCCACCCAGCGTGGAATTTGCCCCTCTGCATAACCTCCATCCGTGTTTAGCACATGCTGCTTTACCTGTTCATGTCATCCACTCCATCTGCTGCGAAGTAGAAACTCTTGACCTTGGGGTGACATGCTTTGAAAGCACTAGAGAGACATGGGGGGGGAGTTAGTTCAATCCAGACATAAGCGTATGTGAACTGCACATAAAGCATAAGCACATAAATATGCAAGAGTTTCCATCATGGACTTACTACTTCTTGCGACATTCACTGGCCCGGTCGATCTTAAACTCTGGAAGACTGACGAAACCCTCCGCCTTCTCATCCTGAACCGGAGGAGAGATGAAAGAAGAAATAATAAGCTAATGGGGAAGGCTATAGAGGAAAACGTCAAAGGATAATTCCAGGTTATTTTGATGTGGTTTATTTCCCATAAATGGGTCGTGCTAACTTTGCAATTGCCACCTCCGTTGTAGATATTCAGGGAAACAAGGACTCGCTCAAAACAACGTACATTTACTTGCTCACAAAGACAATGATGACCATCTTAGTTATAGTGTGTTAGCATGCTAACATTTGCTAATTAGCACTAAACACAGAATACCCAGCTGTGGCTGATCGGAATGCTGTTAGTTTTGCAGGTATTTGGTTTAAAAAAGCTGAATTTTTGACCTAAACTCACTAAAAATCACAAATGTTAACGGTGGCGACAGAGAAAAAGTTAGGGGATCACCAAAGTCATTAGGATTCATCTTCTAACTACTGTGGATACTTTAAAAAGATTTCAGGGCATCCATTATATAGTTGCTGAGATACAGTATCTCAGCCTGAACCAAAATGATCATTAACCTTTGCCGCTAGCACGGCTAAAAACCATGAAGGTCTGATACTCATACTTAACACAAATTTAAGCTGAAATCCGGCTAATATCTCCTTTTGCTACTTCTCCAAGGCAAAGTCTTCCTGTCTCATCCTTGAGCTGTAATATTCAATCATAAAGTTGGACTGCACGGTAACTTCTGCACAATGTGCTCTCCCTTTGTCTTTGTCACAGACATAACTATTTCAAAAACTTGCATAGCTCCTATTGAGTTACAGCAAGCACAGGCTATGACAAATTGCATCATTGCCTCTTTGTTTCAGATACTTTCTTTCACCGAAGGACATATATTACACTACAAATATATCTTAGTGTCAATAACAGTTCAGGTAAGAGGAGGACACGTATAAAAACAGACTCACCTCCTCATTGATGTACCAGTACAAGCAGTTGTCCTTCAGAACAAACCAGTACTTCTTCCATTTCTGGGAAAAGTAACCCTTGGCATCTCTCTTTCTCCACAGCCAGCCCTCGCAGTCTCCTCTGCCCAGCGCCTTGCAGGAAACACGCCTCCGACTCAGGGAGGCCAAACTCCGTCCTGGAACGAAACGAAGGGAAACATGAAGACGGGCAGCGAGAATATAAAAATCAGAGCACTGAAAGAGAGCTCTCTCACACAGTATAGTGTGAATAAAAGCGTTCGCAAAATGCCAAATCCTAATGTCGCAATTATTCTTGGCAACAGTTCAGTCCCTGGACTTGACAGAACGCTGCTGCACTGCAGTAGGGTAAGAGGTGTTTCATACAAAATTGCCTTTTGCTTCTGGCATAGAAGCCCTGTAACGTTGTTCACAACAGTCTCCTCATTAGAGATTACCGGGGGAAACTTGGCTCCCGGTCGAGGGCCGCCGAGAAACTTTTACTGTGCTGTATCAAACGTCTTTCTACTTTGAATTTTCCATTCATTTCTGCGGCAGTGGAAAATGCAGCGTACAGTATATCTGTAAAGGAAACAACTCTCTACCGCACGAGGAAACTAAAGCTCAAACACGTAGTGTGAAAAGGGTTGAGGTCTAGACAGACTCTGCAGATAATGAATAAGTTATGTTCTCTGATATAGCGGAAACTATACATCTTCAAAATGTACAAAAGTTTATTTTATTTTCAATTTAATTCCTGTGCAGGAACTAAAGGTCTGATACCATCACCAATTTCATTTCTAGGTTTCAGCACTGCCTCAGCCAAGGACCAGCAGGAGTAACTAATATTCAATTACTTGTTCGATAAGAACACTACACTGAGCATTTAAATCAGTCTATAAATCATTGTCATCACATTCATATTCAAACTTTGGTTTAATATCTGTAAACAAACAAAGCTGTTGCCCGAAAAAGTGCAGATGGAGCTAAAGCTTTCGGAGCTTCTCGCGTTGGCAGATGGTGAAACGGGTGAAAGAAAAATCACTTCAAACATGTTGATCCTCGTTAGTGTGGTGAAGGAAGAAAAAAGAGCTTTGGTCAGAGAGGCAAAGAAACCGATAGAGTTGGAGAGAGGACAGAGAGGAAGCAGAAGGTTTTAGTGATTTATCGTTTTGATAAACACTTGCTCTGATTAAACATGAAAGATACCGATTATCTGAACCATGGTCAAAAGAAATCAGTGAACGTAGTTTTCATCTTCAGAGTAACACAAAGAGTTAAATTAACTGGAATAGATGTACCATATACAGCAAACATATGGAAAGCTGCCTCGCCAGCAGTCCTGTCTGGAAATATGTGAAATGAGCACGATGTGTTGAAATGCAAATACAGCGGCCGCTGCACCAAAATGTGAGAAAAAATATATATTTCTTCCTGACTGTGAAATTATTCGGTTGTGGAGAAGTTAATAATTTGACAGCTCCAGAGGTATAAACTCCTAACTTGTGGGATAAATCGCTGCAGTCAGTGAAGTTTTTATCCATATCTCACCAGAGTAATTAAACAAATTATGCATATTCACTACTCTGTTTTGTATAAATATATATTGATTTGTTTAGGTTTTGGGTGGTTGGTTGGACAACTTAAAGCGTTGTAGATATGTGTCACTCTGGTGGGAAATCTAATAGATCAACATGACTAATAAATGAGTTTTAAAACAACTAATTATATATAATAATCAGTATTTGCAAGCCTCATCCTGGCAATAAATCTCAAACAAAATGATTAGGTAAAAATGTAAGTAATAAGAAAAAATTGGCCATATTTCCAGCCTCATACTGGGACTAAAAGGTCTGTAGAACAGCTCTGTATATAGTCAACTAAAATGAAAATATTAGCGAAAGACAAACCTACATGGAAAGACAGAAGAAAATCCCCTCTCTGTCTACAAAAATAAAATAAAATGAACAGTGTATTTGTACAGCTCTAATAGTTTTCTATAGTTTCCTAGAGAGGCGGTGTTATGTAAACATGGTATTTTGGGGCTAAATATGAGAGAAAATCCAGCTACTGTGTTCAATGCATTTCTAAAAAGTAATGTTCAATTAGTCACAATCACAAGTGTCTGTTAGTAAATGCACAGCAGGTCAGCGACACATGCAAAAATGTTAAGTGGTTACAAATTGACTTTTCATTGAAGTGAGAGACTTCTTGCTGTGATGAAATGAACAACATTTGCATATTAATGGCTTCTGCACTAAAAGTAACTCAAAATATTATGCAAAGCAGAATATTCTATTTTCTTAAATTATGTCTGGATGGGAAATTTGTCTACAGCTCAAGCACATAACGGAGAATTATGTTTCCAATGACAAAACAATAATGAATGAGTATTTATTTGGGTTAATATGAAGCCTGTTATTTAATGGAAATTCCTCTGCTTCTGCTTGTAAACACGGTAAAACCAATTAAAGTGTCCGAATTTTGTCTGTAATTGGTGCCGAAATCCATGTTTTTTTTCCCTGAAACTTTTTAGGAAATTATTAGAAGATTACAGACCCGTAAAATGAAGTGTTCTTAAGATAATTGGTTCAACTGAAGCAGCAGCTACTCTCACATTTTGGCACTGCAGCGTCCATTAGCTCGGCATCCCTGAGAGAGTGAACGAGGAGCAAGAGTTGGAGTGTGACGGCCGCTCACACACACAAAAAATAGCAACCTGAACAGGTGGCTTCTCTGCTTACCTCTATTCTTCTTCCTGTTCTTTGACTGCAGAGAGGAGGACTGTTGGTATGTCTGAGAGAGGGTAGGAAAGACGACAAGAGGAGGAGGGAGGGTGAGATAGGGAGGGAGAGAGCAGGCTGTCAGGATGAATCAGTGGCCTTTGTTTACCGCAAAGAATCCCGGGATATAAAAGATGACAGATGTTAGCGAGCAGACGAGAGGAGGCAGAAGAAACTTTCCCTCATTATCTCTTTCTCGCAGAGACCTGCGCTCGTGTCGGGGTGGAAAAGTCGACCTCGCCAAAGGACTTCAGCAACTCTCACACCTCTAAACATAGAACAAAGGGACGGGAAGGGAGGGGTGGCACAATAGGACATCCAGGTGATGGGAGGAAATGAGAGAGAATAGAGCTCAGCGGGGGGGGGGGGGTCTCTGCTGGGATTAAACAGAACATTTTCAGCAGAACATAAAGGACAAACATTTCCCTGTGAGTATGGGCTACTTTTTTAACTTCTATTTGGTCACATTTTGGTTAAACGGCACTATTAATCTTAAAGATAATGCGTTAAAAGTGTGCAGGATTAGCCATTAGCAGCTCCTGTTTGCAAAGTACCCATGAGTGTACAGACCAGTATCACTGGAGTACTTTTACACTGAAGAACACCTACAAACGTGATGATTCTCAGGCCAGACCTGGAGTTATAAGGAGCATCTTTTTCCTGTATTCTAAGCAGGTTTATGGAATCGTGACGGACATCGACGACGATAATGATATCCTCGGAAGGTGCAAGTCCCACTGAATTAAAGTATATGTGTTCATGTCTGCATGTTCAGATTTGACTGAGTTTTGACTTCAAGAAGAAGGTGTTTTGATGCACCTGTCCCTTCAACTGTCCCGTTAAACCGCTGCTCTATAACATTCAACCCTGTGCCAGCATATTTGAGGTGTGACCTCTCCCGACAGGTCAGATCAGCTCTGATGTCACAATATTACGCATGTCCGAGTCTGGAGCTCGGCCACTCGCAGCCCCACGCTCAGCGAGACAGATCACATGGGCCTGCCCACACCCACTGACACGCCATCTGCCATCGCGGCACACTGTAAACACATATACACACACACATGGAAACACATTTCATTTCCAAAGAGATGCCGTCAAGACGTATGAGGTCACCGCCGGCCAAACGGACTGTCTGGACCTGAGAGCGCCGAGCTCAGACGGAGAAGCGGGGAAGACGGATGTCATGAAAGAGACAGTTGGGGGTGGGGGGGGGGGGGGGAATAACGAGTCAGCATTCGCTCAGACTTTTCACTACGGCGCTTTTTCATCAGGAGTAAAAGCTCAAACTTTTGAGTCGTGGCTGCATCAAAACAAATCAGAGAGGAGTGTTACCTCATTTAACTTGTTGTTAATATGAGGAGGCAACTGAGGGGGAAGTCAGAGGAGTTCCATAACCTTGTTTGATGTAATGTATTTAACTACATAATGCAATCTTGAAGCAGCTGATCTGCAACTTACTGGAGAATGAGCTGTATTTGTCACCTTTCCAGTGCTGGTAGTGCTCTTTCTTTATCAAATGTTGGCAACATATTTGTTGCTACGAGCTCATTGTTGTGCTGTTGACGTTCTTTTAAAGAAAATAGTTTGACATTTTGGGAAAATACAGTTATTGCCAAGACTCAGAAGAGAAGGTCGATGCCACCCTCACGTCCATAAATATGAAGGTGCAGCTGGTTAGCTTAGCTTAGCGTAAAGACTGGAAACAGGGGGAAACTGCTAGCTCACTAATTAGTATTTTAAATATTGTTTATTTAATCCGTACAAAAAGTCCTTGGCCCTGCTGTAAATAATACACATATGTAATGAAAAAGATCAAATAGGAGACTTACGTGATAAATGGAGGCGGGGTCTCTCGGTGGAGAATCCCTCTGATTTGTCTGGAGGACGTAGTGGGAGGGGCTTTGGCTGTGGTGGCTCCGCCTCTTGGCGCGTTTGGCCGTCTCATTGGTCCGTTTCCCCGGACGAGCCGTGTGGGAGGAGTAGTCTTCAGAGCCGGTCCTCTCGTCCACGCCGGACAGTCCCACATAACGCATCAGTGTCGCCTCTGGGGAATCATCCAATCAAATCAGCACAACATAAGCAAATGTCCAAATATATCAACTTCACAATCAATGGTGCGTTAGAATTTTTACTTGTTGCTTATGAGCCCAAATTTTTGGTTTTATATTCTGTTCTATGTTCTTCATCAGTGCTGCTTCAGTAGGTTAATTATACACTTATTATACAAAGAAAACACGGTGACAAAATGTCACATTACTCAAAGATTGATTTAAATTAAGCCAGTAGTGTTTGAGATGAAAAATAATTTGTTGACCTTTAATCAAAGCAGCATTATAGAGCTAATCAGTTATTCTTAAAATATGAGAACACAGCAGATGAATCTGTAAAAGCCTTCAGATGTGATCAAATCTAAACTGGAAAGTGCACCACGTGTTTTCTGAGTTTTAGTTTCAGCGCCACCATCGGGCTGACTGGTGCTGATTTAACACAGAATTCAGTGGTAAAAATCTGTCTATTGTTTCTATCTGAACAACAAAAAGGTATTTTATCATTGCCCTCCAAAACCATGCATGCAAATGTTACAAAAGAAGATTCATAAGAGCATTCTCTGCACCTCCATGGTCTATATTTAGGCAATTAAAACTATTGGGTTGACGTTACTAAAAGGTGATCTTTCCAGTCGAGTCCCCTTTGACGTGAAGACATTTATCCAGTTTAGACTGTATGACTACACTCCATTAAAGGTACCCAGTGGATCCCCGTTGTGTTTGTGGAACGCTCACAATGATGCAGCGGCCTGCACCCGAAACACACAGGCGATGAAATACATCCTGCCGTCAGTTTCATGCAATTCCACTTGTTGACAGTTGCTGGTGGGTATAGGTCCAAAAAACATAGCAATGCGCCGGCAAAGGCAGTGAAGAAGAAGACTGCTAGCAAGCAAACGTGTATGTAAACGATGCACAATTTAAAATATTATCCTTTGGAAATGTTTCCAAATGTTTTACTCAACATATTTTCAGGCTTCAAAGTTACACACAATGCATTTTGGTCGTCTAAGTGTTTTAAATTGTCCTTCTTGGTTCTTCAAACGTTTAGAGAAACTGACGGTTTCCTCTGTGATTTGAATGCATGCAAATACAGTACACAAGAGGCAGACACTGGGGCTAGCTGCTAGCTAGCTTATAGCTAATGTCTGCATTAGTACATCGGCGCTTTAGAGGTTAATAAACATAAACAGATGGAGAGGTTTTGCTGCGCTTTTGATTACAAAATGTTACTCGCCAGAAGATAAATACTTGTTTGAATAACCGATGACGAGGAGATTTTATCGTATTGTATGAAAGTGAGACTTGATTAAGACAAAGGTGATGGATCCATATTCCCCACCGCGTGTTGTAGTGTGACAACGATGCTGCTGTGAGAAGAAGAACAAGTTCATGCATGTGTGAGTGAATCTGTGTATTCTGGTTCACTGGCAGTAAGACTCTCGTCCAACTTCCTCTTCAGCTCTCCCACCGGGGGAGGAAACTCAGGTCTCACTACCTCTCTCTCTCTCCCTCTCTCTCCTTCTTTCCCTCTCTCTCTCTCTCTCTCTCCTCACCCTGTCCTCCCCTGGTTGCTAGGCAGCGGCCAGAGGAAAGTGAGACTCCGAGAAAGAGCTTCTGTCAGCGTCGCCATGGCAACTGCGTGAGTGATTCAGGTGGAGGTCAGGGAGAATAGTCCTTTTTTTTTGTTTTGTTTCTCCCTCCTCCACCTCCTCACGTCTCTCTTTTCATTCTTCCTCCCTTCATAGCTCTGCCTTTCATTTCCTCTGCTCTTTGTACCGACTGCCTACCTTTCCTTTTTCCCCTCCTCCTTTCCTTCTCATCCCCTCTTGTTTCCTCTGTGATGCTAATCACAGGGAGAATTAGAGGAAAAAGGGACGGAGGCACATTGATCTCCACACACTGATGTCTCCGTAATACAGAGAGACGGGAACATTTAACCGAATCTAACACTCTCACACACACACACACACACACACATACATATGCACGCCACACGCCGGCACTCACCTCTGCGGCTTTCTCTGTTAAGCTTGGCTGGATCTTCATAGTCGCCCACCCAGTTACACTCCACAGGCATGGAGATGGGCCTCAGCCTGCCTACAAGTACACACGATTACAGAACTTAATACTCTCCTTAAGAGTTTTTAATACTCCGATATGTGGAAATTAGGGTTCTTGCAATGTCGTTTTTTTTTCATTCAAAGTTCTTCTGAGGTTTTCTGGATGAAGCCTTGATGGCTGCCGTCATATTTTATGACGTCATCACCCTAAAACCCTAAAGATTTGAATAAAGTGATTCATCTGATAACATTTATTTATCTTTTTCTGGAATATAACTCGTCAGTAAATGCTTCCCTTTGTGTGCAGAAAGAAAGAGAGCAAACTGTATCTTGACCACAGTAAAAATGTGTTATTTTATTTTTATTTAAACTTTATTATACCAGGATATATATACAGTATATATATATATATATATATATATATATATATATATATACATATATATATATAGATATAATTCTACAAAATTAATATATTATAATATTAGTGCACCCTAATCTTTATCTTCAGACTTCAAACAGAATGAATAGACATGCAAAAAAACTGCAAAGCATTCACATGTTGATTTAGAATTTGAATGTCAATGCTGTGAATAAATCACACTATTGAGTACAGCCCAGTTCAGCTCCCTCACTTTCTAAAACGTTTATTAATCGCCTCGGGCAGGCAGGTGGATTCACAGCCTTGTGATTGTTTTCTGAAGAGCTTTGATGCAGCGGAATGAGATTGAACTGTTTTTCCCCATCACTGGAACGTACCATATGTCGGTGTGGTGCAGTACATGGGCTCCTCCTCTTCTCGCCGGTGAGACTCTTGATCCAGGAAGGAGTTTGGTGACTCAGAGCGCTTGGCAACGCTGACGCCACCGTGGTTGCGCCCACCCTCATCTCCTGGCAAGGTTCCTGTCTCATCTCTATAGCAACAGCAGAGGATGATTTACCGGCAAACAATCATCAAAGTCAGAGCGGTCCCCAGTATTACGCTCTGAGAAAAACACCGTACCTGGGTGTGTATGGCTCAGCGGGTGGAGGGGGGATGTAGAGGTCCTGGATGGCGGAGCTCTTGGTGGGCGTGCCTGAGGGTGTGGCCGAAATGCTGCCCGGGCTTCTGGTTGGCTGCAGAAAGGTGGTGTTGAAGGAGGAATAAAGCCATCAGTAACGTGTATTTCCTGGAGGAAGTGAACCATCTGAGAAGCCACCAAATTGTCTGGAAAAGGGCAGACTATTTCTAAAAAAATACTTGGCAGGTGATTGGATGAACCATCTGTCAATCAAACTATTACCGAAGCCAGTCGGGTGAAGAGCAAAAACATATTTTCAAGCGAGAAAATCCTCCAGTGCAGTACTTTGCTCTTCTTTTAACAGATGCTATTACAGCATCTACGCTAACCTCTTTAGGAGCCGCCATTGTTTTTTTTAGAACAAACAGTCATCTCGCACACACCTAAGCCACGCCCTAGGCTGCCTGTAGCTCCTGACTGGAGGCTGATTGGTTCTTTCTCTGGCTTACCAGACACACATGCATTACTTGAAGCCTGGCAAGTTGGATTTCCGCATGAATCTAGCTGCTGTGCAAGGTGACTAGCTTCTATCAGTTTGGTACAAGAACATGACTGAGAAAAGAAACATATTCAGAGGCAGATTTTACATTTGCTTCGAAGTGTATTAAAAATGAAAGTAGTTTCTAGGAGACCGGGTTTACAAAAAGTTGTAAAAAGCCAAAGGAAGTCCTTTAAGAGACATGACTAAAGTGGTCACACGAAACAAAACAGAGTTGAAGGGCAGAGAAAAACTGATTTCCTCTGTGTTTCCTCCTTATTGTGAATATAATCGGTGTTAATTAGGGAGATACATTTCATAATTGCGGGCGCACTGGGAATGTGGGTGGAGGGTGCCATCAATTTTCCCTTCCCATTCATTCCCGTGTGTTTCAGTTGGCAAACAAAAACTATGTTTAGGCACAGTTTCCTGACCCATTTACACGCTTCGGCTGTGGTCCTACAGGGAGTGAGAATGCTGTGGGGAGCTATGTGGGCCGGCGCAGCGCTTTAATAAAGTCTATTAAAGGTAGAGCTGGTCCCACCTGCAGAGCGAGGGGTTTCCAGCGCATGTTCTTCAGCAGAGCAGGGGCGGAGCTCAGCGTGCTCTGTGGACGCTTCTTCAGGGTCAGGGACACGACGCCTTTATCAGCCCTCAGCGAGCCGACCAAGTTACGCAACTGCCAGCCCACCTGAGGACGGGAGAGGACAGGTTCAAAGCGTCCAGTTATCATCCTCTGGATAATGACCAAAACAGTCCCAGCATTGTATTTATATTCTGCCCGTAGTTTGAATTCTTTCCACGTCGTGATTGGATCTTGTTGAGCCTTCTGTGCGTGGCAAGTGGGTGTGGAGGTGGTAAGTCTATCTATAGAGCTTTCATGTGATGTAACCTGCCCTCAAAAAAAAATGCATCTTATCATGTAAACATCTTTTTTAGCCACTGTTTCCACAAAACCATGCCAAAACTTTGTATTTTTAGGACATTTGTGAACAAAAACAATACACAAAAATAAAAATGGCTGCTTCACGCTGACCAGAACCATGTTTTTCTTGTTTTTCACAGTTATTTTTCTTGGACCATTTGTGCTATGTGGAGAGAAATGCTTTCTCAATAAGGCAGACACGCTATCTTAATTGCATTTCCCGGTCTGACCCTAGATCTGATCATAATTCAAGAGGAGGTGCGGAGAAGGTTGAAGGATCTGATTACGCTAATTGCCATGCATGCTGTGTGCATTTGCTCCTTGGAAAAGCGAGGGCACAATCTACAGAAAGATGTAAACAGAAGGGTTGCCCTACCACAAAAATTCAAGACCCATAATTGCAGAGCTATATCTATCTGAAAAGAGCTTAAAGAAATGTAGCTGCAGTATGAGAGCGATTGAGCCAAAACAGGGAAGTTGTGGCCTTAAAGAAATGAAACAATTAGCTGAAATACACTAAAACAGGCAACAATATTTTTGAATTCATCATTATGAGCGACCCCTTTCGCATTAAACATTTAATCCATTGTTATCGTAAAAATATTCATTATAGCAGCCATCTGAAAAACAGGCGTCATTAAAATCATAATATGATCATTTGACAAGGTTGAATTTCTTTGTTATATATGTGGATATACAGGTTTTAAAAAGAAGGAATGGTCCTTTAACATGCATTAATAACCCATGTAGTTATCCAGTTAAGAAATCACTCTTTATGTCAATAAAAATAGATTTGAGTCCACTTTCAAACAAAACACACACAGACACACAATACTAAACCCACCACAGTCTGGTGATTGACTTGTATGACTTCATCTCCTGCATGGATCTTCTTACAGCGGTCAGCTGGAGACTACAGAGACAGAAGAGAAACAGACGACTATGAATTGATCCGAGTTCATTGATCGCTGCATACCAGAGCGGTCGAGTTGTCCGACAAACTTCGACACGAAGGAAAGCATTGCAGAGGCTTCACTATGGAATCTGATACGCCGTTATGGATCCAAATGGCGTCAGTTCTGTAGAGTAAGAATAGTTTTTCTATAATATTCAACGCCCCGGGGCGGGATGGGAAATACACTTCAGAGTTGTTTGTGGAGCGTAGTTGTTTTTATTACAGATAAAACTAACTGCTTGGCTGTAGTTTATGAGAAACTTACCCCTTCAGTGGTTCCTGTGATCACATGGAGGCCGTCGTAGGTTGATTTGATGTACATTCCCTGAAGGACAGAGGGAAGGAAGAGGCGTTTGTTTCGCTCTGTAGATACAGTATTACACTTTTCTGAGTCCTTTAGGTTTATCTTTCAACAATAGCAAATAAGTTAAAGCTTAAAAAGTTACAACTCAAATATGTCTTTTCACCGTCAGTTGGCCGAGAAGCCAGAAACACGACAGTTTTTATTGGCAGCATAATTCACTTTCACATCCTGCACCTACAACCTGAACAGATGAGCAGCAGAATATATGAAATGTTAACTAAAAAATATCTGACACATTAATTGAACAGCTGTAGCCTTCTGTCCTTAAATACTTGTGCAAATAGTTTAGATTCAAATGTTGACACGAGACCAAATTTAACTGACGTGAGGTCACAAACAATCTTTGGCTGAAAACATGCAGCAGCTGCAGAGGGCACATTAACAGCCACACTTTACTGAATTAGCATTAATTAGCTGCAGCTGATGTAATATGCTGTCGGTGATGTCTGTCATTTTAACCAGCGACAGCCACAGTTAAAAATGAAAAGCTGCTACCTACATGGTTCCCATTGCTCTTTGCTCGGAAAAAGTGAGGAGACATGAAAGGTTTGATATGAGATTTGTTAGCGGCGGAGCTTAACACATCTATATCTTGCCAACCGGGAACCCGATCCAAATTGGAACCGGCTAATCTCTATCTGACAGTGTTATAAGTCTTAAGTTGAAGCAATAACACCTTTATCAGGCACTAAAATTCAGTCCCAAACCATGAAATGTGTTTGCTTGGTTTGTTGCTTCCATGTTTACAAGAGGAAATGTTGTCCGCGCTTTTCGTTTGTGGGGATTCTGCCACAGCTGCATTATGTGTGGATGTGATTAAAACTTTACAGAATCACACACACAGCCTCACTCTCACACAGGTAATCACATTTTTTTTACAGAAAACGTAGGAGAGAGTAAGAAAGGGAGGTTGTATTGAACCTTTAAGAAAAATAATTGTTATAGGCTCCTTTAAGTACAATAAACACACAAAATCATGCTATTATACACATAGAATGATTTGCAAAATACAGATGAATATAACCTGAAATACCAACATCCACACAAACAAAACGGAGGATGACAGTTCACACACACACACACACACACACACACAGAGTCATTACCAGGCCTTCGGAGGGTTTGATGTTGGTGAGGTGAACCAGTTCGAGGTGGGCTGACTGAGAAACCAGCGGGTCGGATGACACACACACAATGTGCTCACACACCTCCGACAGAGTCTTGCACTACCAGAGAAGAAGAAAATGTAAGCGGACAAGCAACAACACAAAGAAACAGGTTCAGCAGCGGCGATTTAGTAAGAAAACAGAGCTGAGAACAAAAGACAAAGATGAACAACCTGCAGCTTTTGTTTGTCAAAAACAAACTGCAGCTTTTGTTTCATTATTAGAGGATTTCTCTTCGGCTTTACTGAGAAAATAAACTTATGTCTCCTAATCTAAATACAGTGGCTCCGTACTAGAGGCTGCCACTATTAACATATGCTATTGATCATTTCTGGAGCTTCCTGTAGTGCTTTATTAAAGGGTCAGTTCACCTACATTACAAAAACAGAACATATTTTTCTCACTTGCCTTAACTAGCATCTTTAGCTTTGCACATATTTTTGGTTTTACTCGCCTGCCTCCACACCAATATACTGGAGGCGAATTTAATGTGTGGTGCCTTCAGCAAATCAAACAAGCAGAAAGAAGAATCTACCCAACATGCTGTCGAGTTTACGGACCATTTCCCGGGTAGAAAGCTGTTAGAATTAAAAAAAACACTGACAGCGTATTGTGCCTCCCAAACTTTTTAAAGAAACATTTAAAACACACATTAACTCTCAGTGAACTCAAGACATTTGGGATTTTTGCTCCATGAGCATCACCAATTATAATTCTCTTCCAATCTTCACATATTTAAAGATGACATTTTGGTGAATATCTTCGGCCCAACCTGAATCTCGACTGCCTTCTCTAGCACCACAGCACCAGAGGAGTCAGAGTCATAGACCTCTTTCACAGCAGACAGCAGGACAAGTGGAACTAATGACATTAACAATGGCTCCGCAAAGCAATGCAGCAATTAGTGATTGTATTAGTAACACATGTGTTTGACAAGTCAAAAATGACTGCTGTGCAAATGGTTAATTACACTGATGCAGTGTAACACTGACATTTCTTTTCTGGAAGGGGAATTTTTCAAGATGTGGTTTGGAGGCTAAAATGTCAGTGTTGAACATCTAAAATGTGTTTTGTGCAAAAAAAACTAGCAGCACAGCTATAAAATGTGTTTGTGTAATTTGATTTAACTTATCTTTTAAAGGAATTAACATTTTGGGAAATGGGTTCATTTGCCATCTTGCCAAAAGTTCAACAAGAAGATCGATACCATTTTCATGCCTCAGTGATAACATCTAAATCATAATTACGAGCAGCCACTGTCAGCCTGCAACTTGTTTTTCCGAGTCTGAGAGTGACGACGTGTCCCACTTAGTGAGAATAATGTCGGGGAGTGTCAATAAACTGTGAAGCTGTGATCTCTGGGAGTTACAGCCAAATAAACTCCACACTGAAACAATCGATTCAGCTGATTTTAACTTTTTGCACTGTCTGCTTGTATCCGGTTAACAAAGCGATCCGAATACTCAAAAGTAGCTAATTTAGACAATTTGAATTCTGTAAGTAGCGTGTTGATGTTTCGAAGTCGGAATATGTGGAGGTTTTTCATTTTCTTTGCATTCTGCTGATATTGTGTGGATTCAGCAGTAAGTGTGGCGATCGAGCCCGGAGGCGTTAGCCTAGCTTAGCATAAAGAAAGCAGCTAGCGTGGGTCTTTCAAACTTCTAAATTAACATATTTTATTGAGTTTTCTTCAATAAGTACACAAACCAAAAACATTTGGTCACAATAACTTTCTCAACAAACAAAAGTTTGTTTTTCTGCGAGCGTCGTTTCTGGTCGTCTAGCAAGCTCCAATTGATGACAAGACTGCGAGAAGTTTCTGTGCCTTTTTGTAATTGGTGAAGTTTTTAACTTTGGACAGACCCCGGCTGGATGTTTCCCCTACTTCCTGTCTTCATGCTAAGCTAAGCTAATCCCCTCCTGTCTGGAGCCCGATGGCTGATATCAATCTTCTCATCTAACCTTCTGCAAGAAAGCCCATATTTCTTGAACATTACCTCAAAATACTACAAGATGTACCGTTGAGATTTACTAGATCCAGTTGGCGCTGGAGCGTCTGCGTTTGTGGTGTAGTGTATGAGTGAGGGAATACGAGATCTTAAAAAATAAAAACACGGGACGCCACCCATCAACGCAGAGCAAATGAGCGACAGCTGGCTGAGGAAGCAGGACTCACCACATGAAGGATTTTGTTCTCCGTCTCAAACACCGTACAGTCCTGAGGGACAAGCAGAATTTAATGTGGCGCGAGCAGAACATCCTGTCTTGCAAACGCTCACAAAAAAGCACACACACACACACACACACACACACACACTGTGTAACTGCTCTGTATACTGTCTGGGCCTCACATTACTGAACCCTACACCTGCACACTCTATACGCAGATAGAAAAACAAACAAACCAAAAACACACACACACCTACGCAAACAGACACATTTATTTACACACACATCAGTCATGGAGAAGACAGACTGTAAGGACGTAAATAGCAAAGAATCGAGTCTCGCTCGAGGATGCGGAGAGTCTGAGGCTGCTGCATCCCACCCACACACACCGTTCTTAGGGGGATATGACAACCGTGGAAGAATAAGAGCTATGAGCCTTCAAAACACACACACACACACACACACAAACAGTTACACACACCTGCTGTACAATGGTGGTGAGCTCCAGGCAGAGCTGAATGACATTATTTCGGGTTACTGAGTAGTCTGCCACTGCAGCAAAGGGAGACCTGGGAGGAACAGATAACACAGCAGTATGTCTTATAATGTTCCTGCTGCATTGCATAATGCACAGAGGAGACGGACAGGAGCATTGTTAGAGAGACGGATACTTTGTTAGCGCACAAACACAGGCACACACATTCATAGGACGCAGTTTTAAGACTCACTCACGGGGGAATAATTAACGTTTTAAATCAGACACACTTGCAGTAAAACTAACCAGGTGGAGTAGCGACAGAAAGAAAATGATGAAGATGTCATTTCACTTTTGTTTGTTTGTGTTGTTTATGCTATAATCTTTAATACGATGTAAGAGTTAATCAGAAGCAGGTGACCACATATGAATTGATGTGAGTATTTGCATGTTATCGGAGTTGTATTCACGGTCAAAGGTTGTCATCTGCTATTGATTGGTTGTAAAACGTCAAGAAGGCGGGTCTTATCTCAAGTATTTTAGTTTAGTTTTAGTTCGTTTTTAGTCATTTGTTAGCATAAATTAATGAGAACCAACGGCGATGCTCTCCTCTTGTTGGCTACCAAGACATTCTGTATTTGTTAGTAACTGGAAGGTGGTTATTAAAGACCTAAAAGCTATAATTGTACCAGTAGTACCAGTACAAACTGTGCAGTGACACCATGCTGTGTCAATTTATAATAATATTTAATGGATAAAAGCAGTAAATCCTCACATTTAAGAGGCTGGAGACAGACAACGTGTGGCATATATGTAAAGAAAAAATTACTGACTTAAATAATTAACCGATCAAAATTGCAAGTGACAAAATTTTCTGTGGTTCAACTAGTCGATTAATCAACTAATTATTGTAACCGAAAATAATATAAACACCTCTCAAATCAAGCCATGAGTGCAACAGGTAGCTAACTTTGAAGAGTCAAGACAGTGAACCGAAGTTAAAGCAAATGTGTGGATTTGTTGCGATGCTGCCAGTGGACCCATAACGGGAGGTTATCAATAAATGGATGTTGCTGTCAAAACTGACCTCTGTGAGAATGAATGGGCCTCTACAACCTCATTCATAAAACTCTTGCTTGATGCCACACTGCAATGAAGAACAGTGTGCACACTCAATGCTCAACTACAAGCATTTTTCTTCCTCTATGAACATGGAAGTGCTGCACACATGCACAGGCTCAACCGTATACCTTCACTGCTACAATTATTCAAAAACGACTCATGAAATGTCCAATATTGTCCTTCAATGGCATGTAAAAAAATGAGAAACGTGCTGCTAATGCCAAATGTGAAATGTTACAGACCATTGAGGCAACTTTAAAAAGTTTGAAGCTGGTCTGTGGGTCATAGCTCTGCTGTGACCAATAAGAGAAAAACATCCAACAACTACGTACTAGTTCTACTACTGGTACGTTCAGGGGACACTGGTGATAACTGGCCCTGACGTCTGGCTTCCTTAAAGTGGAGATTCAACAGGAATGTTCTTCCACAGAGGAAAAGGGGGACACAACTTGTGTGGACGGATGAATGAATCTGCATTAGAGAAATAAATAGGCCACAGTTTAGGCTGTCGACTGAAATGAACAGTGTGAGGAGGGTTAACGATAAGGAAACACTAATGACTGCATTACTGAAAGTAACTAGAATAATAACATAATGTACGTTCACGCTCAATGACATATATGTAAATGATGTTTGCAACCATTGGTGGAGGACACATTCAGGTCCTTAAGTAAAAAAGTACTATTACCCCACTGTACAAATACTCTGGTACAAGTAATGGTCCTGCATTGAAAATGTGAAAATATGCAAGTATAATCAGGAAAATGTACTTAATAATACAAATTGAAAGTACTTAATGCAGAAAGCCCAAAATGACACCTCACAATGCTTCAAAATTATTTAAAAAATAAAAAAAATAATCAAAAGGTAAAGCAGCAAATCCTCACATTTATACCATGAGATGATTTTGCATGAAAAATAACTTCTCAAAAAATCGCTTCTCAAACATTAATCATATTGATTAATAAACAAATCCTTTCAGCTGTTAAACTATTAAACTAGCCAACAGTACACACTGTTGGCTAGTTCAATTTAGAACAAAGCATCTATATTTCTTAATTCCAGATCACATAATTGAAGTGGAGATAAAACATTTCCCTCTGAGATGTAGCGGAGTAAGTACAAAGTAGTACAGTACAAGTACCTCTAATTTCTACTTCAGTACAGTACTTGAGTAAACCACTGGTTGCATCAGAGTGGTTAAATGAACAACAGAAGCACACACACACACACACACACACACACACACACACACACACACACACACACACACAAAGACAAACACACTCACACACGTATTAAGACATCATTGTTCTCAAGACCCAGATTAAAATTCGGCAACAGCCTCTAGTGTATAGTGTATCTGTGGAATGTGTATGTGTGTGTGTCTGTGGTATGCGTGTATGTGTGTGTGTGTGTGTGTATGTGTGTGTGTGTGATTTGGGTCATCAGTATTGAGGCTGTGTGCTATATATACGCAGGACCTAAGGCTCAGACTGTTTGCTAACCGTCAGGCTCCAACCCTGGAACCCCCCCTGAGAAAACATTCAGATGATACTATGACAAAGGTACAAAAAACTCAGTCAAAGTAACTAGTAACTAGTAACTAGTAACGCCAGCTGTTAAATAAATAAATGTAGAGGAATAAAAAACAAACAATATTTTTCTCGGAAATCTGAAGTGGAGTAGAAGTATCATGTAACATAAAGTGGAAACACTTTAAATAATATGATATTTAAGGATGCATTAGGGTATCAGAGGCAGGGAAAAGGTGCTGCTGTACCCACGCTGTCATTTTATACATGAAAAGGTTAGAAAATGTCTTCTCAAGTTATTAGAGAGAAGCTAGAAAATGCTGTGCATTCGCTGCCTGAACTGCTGTTGCATTTTGCCTGCATTCCCTGAGAGCTCTAATAACCGTCGGGTGGAAGATGAAAGTTCAGTTTTTACATGCTTTATGCTAATTTACTGCTGGTGTAAACCATCCAGGAAAGAGTCATCTTGTGGGTATTAATACAAGACATATTGTAGCCCAACATGCTTGGAAATCACAACCTTTTTTCACATCATTAGGGTCTATTGATGAATTCCCCCACGCAGCTGATACTGAGCTTGTTTTACATGCTCATTTGCTATTCCTAGGCGGTAGATATCAATTTTACATGATGAGATTTCCTTGAGATGAAAGCGCTGGTGGGATCCCATGCATGTCAAATGTACCGGTGCGCCATCAGTACTTGTTTGCGACAGTGTCCGAACACGCAGGTACGTCTCAGAAATGAAGAATAGAGAGCATGGAGCGCTGGCTCTGCTGAGTCTACCACTTTCTCAGTGTCGCTTTGCCATTTACAGTTGCATCATCGCGCGGGGGTGAACTTGCATAAGTGCGTGTCAGTGTGTGCAGATGTGGGAGTGTGTCTGTAAAATGTGTGTGTTTTTGTGCAGAGTGCGTGGGTGTTTTTCTATGGGTCTGAGTGAGCCCGTGGACGCGGCTCGGCATGCTTTTGTGTGTCTAGATGTCCTGGGGACAGATGTGGGTGCCCGGCATTTCAAGAAGCCGATGTCAAAGACCTTTTCGTTCTGTATCTGACGTGCATGTCACGGGCAGTAGATCGTGTCGAGTCATGAATAAATGAAGTGACAGAGAGGAGAGGAGAGCGGAGCGGAGAAACACGGGGAGAGAAAGGTCTGACATTTTTCCTTTGGATGAAAAAACAAAACACTTTGCTCCAAAGATGTCAACAAGCAGCAGCTGCAGGAGAGTTTGTGTTCTGCAAAAAAAAAAAACGTTTGCAGGCGCTGGATCAACAGACAGAGGGAAGATTTATAACTCTGTAGTTTTCACATGAAGGCTGCAATAATGATTATTTGACTAATTGTTTGATTGATGGATTGCTCGTTTAGGCAATGACATGATAGAATGTGTTCTGTTCAAAACCCCCAAAGATATTCAGTTTGGTATCACAGAAGAAAATGGAAAATATTCACATTTAAGAACCTGAAAACGGTAAACTTTTGGAAGAAAATGACATAAACTCTACCACTATGTCACTTCACTTGAGAGAGTACTGCTAGTACTGAATGTGAACATATACTTAGAATTATTCTGTCTTTTTTTTACCTTTCTCTCTTTATCTGAACATTCTGCTCTCTTTGTACTTTGTCCTCTGAAGAAACTTTGTGATTTGTGATTTTGGGCTGTACAAAATGAAATTTCTTTGCAGCTGCAACACCTGAATCTTATATGTTATCTCCTCTCATCTAATCTTATTCTATCTCATCTCATGTTATTATATCTTATCTCATCTAATCTTATTCTATCTCATCTCATGTTATTATATCTTATCTCATCTAATCTTATTCTATCTTATCTAATCTTATTCTATCTCATCTCATGTTATTATATCTTATCTCATCTAATCTTATTCTATCTCATCTCATGTTATTCTATCTTATCTCCTCTCATCTTATCTTATCTCATCTAATCTTATTCTATATCATCTCATCTTATTATATCTTATCTCATCTCATCTTATTATATCTTATCTCATCTCATTTTATCTTATCTTAAACAATTAATCAATGATAGAAGTGGTTGCCTGAATAATTATTAATTTAAGTCAATTATTTGACTCATCGTTTCAGCTCTATGTCTGCAAATATAAAACTTGTTGTAGTTACTAAAAGGACCCTAGTTATTCTAGCTGGCCACCAAACAAAACTATAACTGCCTCCTCCTATTTTTAATCAGAGATACATTAAAATCCTGACAGTGAAAATATTTCCCACTTCAGTGAAAAGAACTACAGGTGTTTCAACAAACTGCTGGCATCGACATAAAATCCGATATTAACCCTAATACAATAAATTCAGCTTACTTAAAAGGAGCCATTTACTTTTGTTTGTTTGTATCTGGCTTCACAGGTTAATGAACCACCACTGGAAACTGTGTGGGTGTGCAGGGCCGGAAGGGTGGAATACATTTTGACATGTCACAGTAGGAAGCGCACATAAACTTGTTGTTAATAAAACCAATGTTTTTCCTGACAAGTAGTTATCCTGCTGATGTAAAAGAGGTAAACCTCTGTATACAAAGTGCATCTCTGGCACTGCAGCAGAGAGTAAACATATCACCTGTCCAGCCAGGCAAGCAGGCTCTTGGCGGCGGTGATGAGGTCGACCACGGAGGTCAGCAGATCGTTGGGGAGCCGCCGAGAGGACCTGCTCTCCGATTGGCTGCTGCGGCGGCGGCCGGAGATGAAGTTCTGCAGGTTTTTGGCCGAGGCGCCGAGTTTGTGAGCCAGAGTCCTGACGCTCTCCGTCTCCAGACCTGAGTTCTACACACACGAGCGCACAAAGATTAGCTGATCCTCCAGACACTGAACCGCCATGAATACTAATTACGATCTTATTTGTCAACATGTTTACCAGCTTGTCTGGTGAATATTAATAACTTATATTACATATTCATAAGGGAGAAGGTCGCCACACTGACTGCTGTTATTTTAAAACACCTCAACTCTTTGTTTACATCCATTTGTATGCAGGTATTTTCAAAATTTTGTCAGATTATTGATTTGTTTTCATATCACTTTGGCTTATCTGGGTGTAATAACACTATACAAACTCCCCGTAGATCACAGGTTGTTATTTTAACTCTTGGGTTGTACTTAGTAGTGGAAAGTAACTAGCTATATTTACTAAAGTGCTGTACTTAAGTAAAAGTTTGAGGTAATTGTACTTTACTAAAGTTTCTGCTACTTAATACTCCTACTCAACTACATGTCAGCAGGAAATATTGCAGTTTTTACCACACTACATTTGACCAAATTAGTTACTTTCCAGATTTAGATTAATAACACAAAATATTATCAACAAAGAAATTATGATGTAATACTATTGGTTTAGATAAGAGTCACAAGTATATGTAAATATAGAATATATAACAATATATAAAGTAATTTAAATTAGCTCCACCTTTACCAACTCCAACATCAAAGTTATGAACACATTAATGCATCAATTATTATAATCCAGTGATATAATATGTATTTTATTCTGAAATGCACCATTGTGCATGAAGTATATTGTACTTCAAGTATATTGTCACTGTCATACTTTTGTGCTTTCACTTAAACATCATTTTGAATGCAAGACTTTTAATTGTACATTAACAGAATAATACTACTTTTACTTTATTATAAGATCCGACTACTTCTTCCAACATCTTTTCCCATACCTCTATTTCGGCATAGTTTGAAGAAGATTTAAGGTGGCATTTGTACATTTTCGTCATTGTGACGAGTGGGTGTTGCAAGGATGTGCTGCAGCTCGGTGACAGTTTACTTTGCGCAATCTATCACATTGTGCATTCACGCAGAACATTAATGCATCCACAGCTGCAGCAGTAAGGATGGCTAATGAGGGTTCAGCTTTGCATTGAAACTACAAAACACACACAAACTCACCAGAGCACAGAGCAAGTCGACAGCCTCCAGAATGAGCTCCTGGTGTCCGATGCGAGAAACTCCCAGCTCCTCCAGCTCGGCGTGGCTGATCCTCAGCAGCCTCTCCCCGCACACACCTCCGTGCTCGAACACACACACATATTGCTGCAAGCAGTCGTCCAGACCTGAGGCAAACACGTACAGTGATATTAGATTTACTCACAATACATACGATCAGATTTGTTCCAAAATAAACATATTTCAACCTGTTTAAAAAATGTACCTGCTGAAGAAAGTGTGAAGAAATGAATTTAAGTAAATGCTGGAAATTGCATCATAAAATAATCTTTTTTGATTGTGTTTCAAGAAAATAACTAAACCTGCATAAACATTTGCTTTTGACACCTCATTACCTTTTAAGTTGATATGACTAACCTGTTAGCAAACAGTTGCCGATTACACAAACAGAGCAACATCAGCCTTAATTTGGAGTCACTTTTCTGACAACCTGACGGATGTATTTACTCTCCTTTAAGCTCTGATGGGCTTATGTAACTCTTGAGCTGCTAAATTCTCCACTAAAGTCTCTACCGAGCTCGTCGCTAACTTGGCCTGTGGTTTGGTGCTGGTCAAGACGTGTACAGTGGGTTTATCAGAGCAATAAGTCTGAACCGGTAAGCAAACGTTAAGTACACAATTACCTAAAAGAGGCTTAAAGGTTCCACAGAACTGGGGTGAACTGCAACCAAGTGATGATTCTCTGTGTGTTCATCACTTAATGCAACACATTTGACATTTGACAGTCATTTGGGTCATCGCTAAGTAAACATATTGATAAAAACAGCTTTAAAGGAGACAGTTCATGCTCATTTTCAGGTTCATACCTGTATTTAGTGTTTCTATTAGAACATGTTTACATTCTTTAATGTTCAGTATTTTTCTCATACTGTCTGTCTGTATTCACCATCTGTCCAAAACAGTCTGCTTTAGCACCTATCTGTTTAAGACCCCTTACCGAATAAACTAAGTCTGCTCTGATTGGCTTGTAAAAAAAAAAAATATGGTGCACCAAATGTTTGGCTTGTTGAATCACATGTTTTCTGATTTAAGCAGCCCAAAAATACTGTCTTATATCACAGTTTGTGGGCTGGTAGGCACTCAATACCCAAATGTATGTGCACAAGCACTGAAAACGTGAGTTTTTGATGATATGTCCCCTTTAAGGACTCAATTCCCCAAAAACATTGCCAAATTGAGCTGGAAGAAAAAGCAAGATAGGTCAGTTAAGGTCGTTCGACTCCTGGAAGTATCTTTTATGAACTAGTCTTCTGCAACACTATTATATTGTACATTATGCCACACTGTTGGTTTAAGGTGTTTATATCTACTGCCTGTAATATATTTTAATGGCAATTATGAGAATACACATTAGGTAGACAGACATGATGAGCGCTATGCACAGGAGGGGAATCTCATCCCAAACACATCATCCCTCTTCATGATCCGTCCACAGCCGAGACACACTTCAAAACATTCCCTGATCGATAACCACACACATCCCCACTACTACATTATAGGTTTCTAGCTGCCCTGCAGAAGCACTAATCCGCTTTTATTACCACACGTTTCACCTGCGCTTTCCCTCCTCAAAGTCAGCCAATAGGGAGGACAGACTTCCTTTAGTGCGATAGACACATTTTTACTGCTGCTTATTCCCGTTTGTCTCGGATAAAACAACAGCTGCTGTGTCGTGTTTTTGAGACATGTCTTTTGAGCTTGTTTGCAGTTTTGTAGATTTCAGCTCGACGCTGTTTCAAAACTGCAACAGGATCAGGTACAAGTGTAGAATACCGTTTGTTTTGAGAGAGGGCCACAAGAGGCATTTAAGGTCTTCTTTTGTTTCGTTTTTGTTTTCTTTTTTTAAGAAAGGTAGAAAATGTTTGACTTTGAGTCCTGTTTCACCCTGCAGTGAGGGTGAAGAGAGAGAGAAAAGGAAGAGAGGCATTAGATGTTTTCTTCGAAAGGGGAAGATAAAGGTGATAAATAATACTTGGACTTTTATCATGGCCAAACATCTTTAAAAACCCATAATTGTACCTAAGCTCTCAACAGGGGACCATGCCAGTGTGTATACATTGTAGCTCATAACTGTAAATCATGTCTTTTCTGAACATTTTCAATGGTTGGTGAACAGATTAGATTAGACTGTATAGTTTAAGACATCATCCGTGTCATAGATTTGGCTATTTTTGTGCATTTTACAACTTGTATGACCTCATGGTTTAAATTAGGGAAGTGTTTGTTGGCTTTTTAAAGAGTTACAGACGTATCTGTCCCAATGTAAGTCTATAGCAAAAAGTATTTTGGGGCCCCTGGCGTCAATTGTACCATTGACTCCTGTTTCAAACTACAGTGTTGCTCCTTTGTGGAACAGTTACTACTCAGGTAGAGAAGAGTTGAATAAAAGGAAAGGGTGCAACACAACACAGCCAATAAGCTACGGTAGCTTCCGTTATTTGGGGCTCTCCGTCCCCTCAGAGGTCAGCGCTGTCAACAGGATTCGCTAACATGAATTTACTCTCCAAAAGGATCCAAAAAGGACCTAAAAGGAAACTCAGTACCTGAATCAAGAGAATGGAACAAAGGAGGTAATAGATGGGTAATTAGGCAGCCACCCAGGTAAGACTTAACTCTCTGTTGGATTGTGTAACGTGCGTGTTGTGAGTGGGACGGTCTCTCCAGATCTGCGTGTTGTGAGTGGGAAAGTCTCTCTAGATCTACAAGTGCGTGAGCGTGTAAGTGGGTGGGTGCTTCATTAATGTGTGTGCTTGTGTGTGTGTGTGTTCGTCTGGCCTGGCCGGGTTTGCTGAGTCAAAGGAAAGCAGATCAAGACAGAGCGGCTCAGCTGCAGCCCCTGGCTCCCAAAACAATGACTGTATCCAGCTTCTAACCTCTTAACAAACAGCCAACTGGCAAACACGCACACACACACACACACACACACACACACACACACACACACACACACACACCTCTGAGGAATGAGCATTGATTTCCCCCGCTTCAAGTCCCCGCTTTACAATACACTCATCTATCAAAACCACACTAACAAAGATGGGAGGGAGAAAAAAAAACAGGTTGGCAAGAGAAGGGGAGAAAAGAGAGAAGTCGGAAAAGAGGAAAAGAAAAAAACCTCATAAGCCAGCTGCTAAATTTCAAACTATCTCTCACACACACACACACACACACACACCAATTCCATCTCTCATCAGCGACGAGAAGACAGCATTTGTCGCTTCCTCCCCCTCAACAGCCACTACATCTGAAGTCTAAATGAAGCGTTCAGTTTCAAAATGCCGTATAACGAGTTCGAATAAAAAAAGATGTCGCAGCCTGAAATCCATCAAAAAATTTCGAAAACACATCATTTCATCTCTTTAAAGCGTATATAAACAAAGCTTTTATGCTCTACTTGCAATCAACTTTGAATACGAGGCGTCGTCTTTTCACCTTTATCTCATTTTGGAAGGAAACCAGACAAATTGATTTCACTATCTGCACCGCCAAACACTTGAAGTCGATGAGCGATATCTCGGCTGACGGCTCCCATTGACAAGCATGAAAGCACTTGATGCTAATAAAGACATCAAACCGCTCGGATGTGATTTGTGTGGCTTCCAGTTTTATTGTTAAGGTCACTTGAGGTACACTTTAGGTTCATTTTAAGTGCATTATTCAACAAGAGGATGGTCTACCTTGTGAGATATGTCTATTTCATGCTACACACCACAAAATCACCTTGTTTTAATAAAGGCCTCTGTGATGATACATGTGACAGGGACTGCATCTGTTCCCACCCTCTTCTCAGACCACTGCATAGTATAGTCTACATAAAATAATAATGTAAAAGTTAAAATAATCATTTCTGAGCATCAAGCGTAGAGCTAGAGGCAGGAGGCGATTAGCGTAGCTTAGCTTAAACACTGAAAGCGGGGGGAAACAGCTAGCACGGCGCTGTCTAAAGGTCAGAAATCAACCTGCATCACCTTTAAAACTCACTTAATTAATAAGTAAGTATAGTAAGTTAACCATATCAACTTAAAAGGTGATAACGTGTCAGTTTGGTGTTCACAACGTGGCCAAAAAGAAATGATTGAAGGTTTTAATACCCAACATTAAACTAAATAATTAAAACGACTCCATCGGCTATAATAATAAACTGCTGCTTAAATGCCAATGAATCATTATAAGTAATAAATAATCCAATATCGTAACATGAAATGGATATTCTGCATGAGTACTACACCTTGCTGCTCATACCTCCAAACTTAAGTACGCATTGCAGACAACTCTGCATTTCACACACTTTTGGTCATAAGTTGTATTTCTACATTGTTATATTGCTATTCCTACTAAAGTTAGGCGCCTGAGAACCTTTTTCTTTTCCTCTCACAGCGTGTGTTAATGAGTGTTAATGGCAACTGGTTCCTAATAGACGTGAAGCTGATTAAAACAATGCTGGCTCTCGCAGGCAAAGTGTTACTATAGCTGAGAGAGGCAGGGAAGCAGAAGGGGAGATGTACACTGTGTAGCAAAAGTTCACTGATAATCAGCATCGCTTATCTCTGGCAGTGAGGAAGAGCGTGAATGCCCTGAATACTGATGAGTCAAATTGTGAGCGACATGAGGGAGCACACACACACACTAAAACACAGCTATACAGTTATACATACAGCATAATGACTGCTGCATACGAAGCTATCCATTACTTTTAGCTTTTCAGCTTGTGCCACTTGTTGAGGTGTTACAGCTGACTCAATATGTATTTTGTTTTTATGTTGTTTTTTAAATTAAAATCATAATTTCTATCTTGTTTGTAATTAGTTGTGCTGCTGGCAACTGCAGAGTATCATCTGGGGAACAAGACACATCTGGTTGGGAATAACTGTACCTAAAAACTGCTCACATGTTCTCTATAAATTGACAATCACAAGCTCAGTGCAGATGCCCGTGTGGCCTGTTTCTTGTATAATGGCGTCTAATCTGTACAACCAGGCGCTTATATCTCTGTATGTACAGTGTAAGTCTGCATGTGTGTCAGAAAGAGAGAGTTCAAGTGTGCGCATGTGTTTGACTGGTACAGAAAAAGTGTGATTCATAGCTGACTCACACACTTAACTCCTAC